TCTTGGCGGTGAGCAGTGCGTTGTCCGGATCGGGGTTGGCGCCGGCGCAGAGGTACGTGGTGTCGCTGATAGAAATACCTTGCTTGTCAGCGAGCAAACAGGCTCGTCTTGCGCGTTGAAAATGGTCTTGCGATCCTTAATGTCCCATGCCCTGCCACATTGGCGATAAGCATGGGAAACGCGGCGTTGATCAATAGGTGGAGCCAATCTTGAGGGCGATCACACGAATTACACGAACGTACGTAGTAGGTTTATCGATTTCACGTACTTATCCTCGATCCTGAAGACTAGTTGACCCTGTCTGTCGCGGATCTCAGCCTTCTCACGCAGCGACCACATCTTCTCCTTTAGTATAAGCACCGACTCTTCTGGCAGGCAGTACTGGCTTCCCACCACCACGTACGGCTCGTTTGAGTCAGCCATGGCCAGAGATGCTCGCGACGACAGGGGTAAATCCGAGACTGTCGACAATCTGAGTTAATTCTCAGTAAGGAAATGCTAGCATCGATTCGGAGTGAAGCTGATCACGCGTCAACTAATGTTGCCCTGACGATTTCGAGTTTATCACTCTGGCTGAAGATACGTACAGAGATGGGTTCATGAAGGCTCTCACAGCAAATCGTAGTGTGTTGTTGGAAGGTACTGTGAAACTGAGCTGTCGAACTTACGTGCACTCAACCAAATCGTCGGCACAGGCTGATCATGGAATGGTGCACTAGGATAGGGGGATCGTCCACGTGTGTTTGTGGCGGAAATGACGCCACGTCATCCGCAGAACCCTCGAAACGAATCGGAGTCGGGATGTGGTGCGGTTGCCGTCGCGAACTTCCAAACCCCGCCTGATCGGGCAGTATGAGAGCTGGTGACGGGGCACCATGATAGGAGGAATATGTACTGCCGTACAGTCGTGTGGGGTGAACCAACAAGAGGGTATGGGGAGGGCACCGGTGTAGCATCTGGTATCTTGCGCAACGGCTAGCTTCATTGTCTTTCCCTTGCCTGTCAGTCACCCATCAAGGACGAATTGCTGGTTCATTCATCAGGAACCCCCTACTTTACTCTTCCTTGACTCACCGTTCTGAATCTCTCACCTTGCCGTTTTTCGGTTTATTCACCAATCTGCACCTGGGATCTCTCATCCTCTCAGCTGTTCGCGCACTGCTTGGAGAGGGTAGCGCGACGCGACGCGAGGTGGAGGAGAACCAACGAGTGGGGTGTGCCATGCAAGCCAACAACTAATCCAATGAACGGCCGCCAGGTTGTTTAGCGAGTGGTGGTGGTTGTACGAGCAAAATCTTTAGATAGAGAGCTGATGTACAGTTGACACAAGAGTCACTTCGATACAGTTCAAGCACACACAGAAAATCTACAGAGAAATTCATGACCTTGCATCACCTTTGACATCCTAAATTCGAGATGGAATCCATGGAATCTCCAAGGCCGCCATGGCCGTCGTTGATCAGCCTGGAACTCATCGCGCGTGAAGCCTACGTGTCAGCTGGCTTTAAGGACAACAGTTTTAAATTCGCCTCGTTAAGACGAAGAGATTGGTACAATCTAGGTGTTCATCTGACGAACATTGGATCGACCTCCAACTCTAACCTGTTGTTATCTCAGCAAACAAAGCTCAAGGCTCTAGTTACCAGTGCGTCAACACCAGGGTTTCGCCTCATCCTATATGTCAGTAAGGAGCTTTATTATTGGCTTACAAGATTGTGGTTTTCAAGTCATGGATATCATCTCGAAGTCTTATCAATGACCACTCAACATTTGCATCTAGAGTAGTGGCTAGCTGGCTATACATTACATCTATTTAATCAGTCAGTGCTCAGACAACCGGCATATCAGGCACTTCGAGCCTTTCTTTCAACTTTATTGCCGGACTCAATTCATCATAGCACCATGTCGCGCGTGCCTGCCAAGGGGAAACATGCGGTGGAGGATCTTCCAGTTAAAGACGCCCCAGTCATTACCTCTACCACATCTGACGTTCCGGTCCCTGATGAGACTGGTGCTGCTGCAGTCCTTGAGCCGTCGCTGTAGTCACCTTTTGCAGCGGGAAGATGGTCTATCACCTGCAGAGAAAGCAACGACAGTGCATCAGCTCTCATCTGACGACTTTCTAGAGGATGACTTAGATGAAGAGCTCGACATTGACATTCAGTAGGAGGCTGCTGCTCGCCTTCGTTATACGGCAATTCTACTGATACCTTTCATGATGAAGCAAGAGCTGGGTAGCATCATCAACACGGTGTGGGTTTTTTTTCGGAAAGTTTGGGCTTTGTCGCTCACGGCTGGTGCTGTTGACACGGCATCCGTGCAATCTCTCCCGGCGATGTACATCGCGAAGCAGCATTTCTGTCGGCTTCAAGTTTCGTTCCTGAAAGAAGAGGATGCGGTTGCAGTCAGACTGAAGGTGGTTGAGTATCAACGGTCGAAAGGGAAAGTAACTTTGTTTTGGTAGCATACCGAGAACCCTGCGTACCTGAAGGAAAAAGCTTCTCATCCTGCAGTCATTGAACTCTATTTCAAGGATGTCCTGGCTAATGTCTCACCTGATCTGTTGAAGGATATGCTGTGCCGCTACGCGCTGAAGATTCGCAAGATACCGGCTTTCGCCAAAGGTCTTTGCTTTCACCGGGTGTCTCATCCTGTCACGGGAGCTGATACGGACACAGTGAAAGGCTTGGTGATTGCTCATCCGAACGATCAGCACCGCTGGCGTCATGCCATCAACAACCCCATGGACACCTCGAAGCAGTTCCTAGTCCACTACCCTCTGCTATCCTGCACGTTCTGTAGCGGACATCATTATGAAAAGTTTCATGATGTGTTCATCATCGACCGTCAGAATAACATAGGGAAGTGGAGTCTGAATCTGGGAAGGGTGCATAAGATCAATGGTAACGCAGTGGCTTTACCTTACTCACTATTTTCTTGTTCCCCCTCCTCAACGGTTGCTAACGCTTTGATCGTTTGTCGCAGCTACATCCACCCGCACGTCTTCGTTAGTCACCCCCATCCTCATGGACCCTGCTATTGTGCTGATATCGATGGGAGGAAATCGGGAGGAATGGTTTTGCACACAGCCGGGATGTGGGAAGGCGAAACGCTCATCCTTCATGTGTGCTGCAGACCACATCACGTCGGCAGGTCACTTGATTCACCTGGAAGAGTTGGGCTCGGCGACCAGAGTGACAATGGGTGCGGCAAATCTGGTTACCGTCAAGAAGGAGTACGGTGTGTGACGGGGAGAAGGAGTGGCTGTAACTCCACAGGGGCTCCCTTGGCCTGTTCCTACAGCCATATGGGAATGCGGTGTAACAGGGATCAAGGAGGGTGTGTGCAGTCAATGTTCAAGCATGCTTGCGAGTGCTTTCTAGTAGGAACCGTTTTCTCATCAGTAGCAGTTCGTGGATTCTTCTTTATCAGTATGCTGTTTCGACCCGTGGATGCTGTGGGGTCTGCAGCAGTGGTTAAATGAATAAAAGGAGCAAGTTTGTGATTATCGCGCTGAACATCAATGGTTTGGGCGATGCGGGGAAGCGGAACACACATCAGCGATGGATTAAATCAGCGACAAACATACTGGTACTAACAGACACTAGAGTTGCAGCAGACCATAACTTTTGGACCCAACTGAATCCAACAGCTTTTGGAGCAGTCTCACCTGATGGTGGTGCGGGAGGTGTGGCTGTCCTTAGTTTCACGGCAGGAGTGGTTTTTAAGGACATCTGTTCGCATGAATCAGGGAGGCTGGTCGCGGTGACAGTAGAGAGGGAAGATGTGACATGGCGGGTACTGGCTGCGTATTTCCCTGCTCAGGCAACTAGCAGAAGTGTTTTCTTCAGAGATTGTTTAACGGAGTTTGTCAACAACTTACCGCCAGTGGCTCACACGATCCTCATCGGAGACCTTAACGTAGTAGCGGATCCAAGGATTGATAAGTCGTCGAAGGCGGGATCAGCGAGGGAAAGCCAAAGACTCCTGGACATCCTGTTGTCGCTCAACTTACAAGATGCTTTCAGGATTCTCCACCCGACCAAGCATGAATACACCTTTTACGCTCACTCGGTGAAGGGGCGCACGCGCATCGACCGAGCACTGGTGTCGCAGTCGCTTCTTCATAAAGTCGGAGATGCATACCACTCGTCGGTCCCCCACGGTATCTCGGACCACTAGTACGCGGTCTCGCTGGATCTCTCAGTGGAGGCTGGAAACGGCAAAGGCCCAGGGTTGTGGAGGATGCACGCGTCCAAGGCTAAGTGCACGGGAATCAGGAAGCGGATCATGCTGGTCCTCGAAGAGCAGGAGGGACAACAGCTCGACGCTTTCTCGGAGTTACTGGTCAAACTGCAGTAAAGCATCAGGGCGTATTCGAGGGAGGAGAGAAAAAGGGTTACAAAGACAATAGCTAGGCTGGAAGAGACGGTGGCGCGGCTAGAAAACGAGTTTATGAACGGAAATGGAGATGCGGAGTGCTACGAACAGCTGACGAAGTATGGATCAATGCTTAAAGCCTATCGGGAAGGGCAGAGGAGGCGGCTGTAGACTATGGCGGGAGCTCAGCAGGAGGTGTTCGGGGAGCTCTCGTCCAAAGTACTGACGGGTCGGATTGAGTAAAAAAAGGCGCAAACGGTGATAGAAGAAGTCACCTACAAGGGAGAAAGTTTCATGGGGGAGAGAGAAGTCCTTACTGCAGCGTCAAGGTACTTTACGGAGGCTTTTGCCGCTCAGGAGGGAGGGGGGTTGACGGACACTTGGCGTGTCGATCCTGGCAAAGTCCTCGGGGTGACGGAAAAGGAGATGTTGAGGGCCCCCTGGATGGAGGAAGAGGTGCTGGTGGCGATTAAACAATTGCCGAAGGGGAAAGCGCCGGGACTGGACGGCCTTCCCAAGGAGTTCATTGAAAGCCGTTTTTATGTTCTTCGAACTGTGTCGTTCTCGAAATAAATCACGAGGATGATTGCTTTTTGTTTCTCTTTCCTTGGTCTCTTCCCATGCCGTTGCCGTGGCTTGCTTTAAATTCTTCAGATTCTCCTTCGTTTCCTCCTCGCCTCTCCGTCTTTCCGTCTTTCCGTTCGCACCTGTTTCGTCCTCCGCGGTGTGCCCTGCGGCAGGTCTCTACGGCACGCATGTGCGCGCGGTACCGCCGGTCAGCAGCGTGAGTCATGGCGGCGGCGGTCGCGAGAAGGAGACGGCTTTAATCCACCGCGCGCTTCCGGAAGAGCTGCTGGTGGAGGTGAGCTATGCAATTATCGTCAGCTACAGTGGTGAGGGAAAGGAAGGGAAGTGAGGCGTGGCTTGATGGTGGAGGGAAGGGAGCGTGGGGCAAGTCTTGTATAGTTGTAATCACGCCAACGCGTGTTCTCCCGTTTCCTCTTTCCCCATTCCCGCTTCGCCGGCTCTCCCCCTCCCCTCTCCCCCGCCCCCTCCCGCTCGTGTCCGCTTCCTCGCCCCTCCCTCACCCCTACACCCCCCCCCCCCCACCCCCCCCCCTTCCCCCCCTCCCCCCTTTCCATGCGCCCCATTCCCCAGGTGTTTGCGCGCCTGCCAGCGCAGCATCTGGGGCGCGTGGCATGCGTGTGCCGCCGCTGGCGCTACTCCACACGCGCCCCCGCGCTCTGGAAGGAGGCTTGCTTCCGCGCCTGGCACCACGTCCAGGTGGTGGAGGCTTTGGTTTTCTACGTACTGCATAGAGGCGGCAGCAGCGTCAGCAGGAGACCTTCTCCCCTCAGGTGCTTAGTGAGTTGTTTCCTCAGCGATGTGTCACTGGTTCCGTCGAGGCTGTTGCACTAGGTGCTAGTGAGTCTGCTGCCGCACTAGGTGCTAGTGAGTCTGCTGCAGCTTTAGGTGCTCGTGCGTCTCCCGCCACAGGTCCTTCCTCAGCTGAGGCCTTGCACACTTTCACACTTGACTCAGGCGCGTCACGTTGCTTCTTTCGTGACTGCACCACACTCACACCACTTGCTGCACCGGTATCGGTCTCACTGGCTGACCCCACTGGGGGCCCAGTAGTCGCACTAGCCTCCACTGTCCTCCCGTGTCCAGCAGTCCCCTTCGGTTCTCTCTCAGGTCTCCACCTCCCCACGTTCTCGACGAACTTGGTGAGCAACGCTGCCATTCAGGATGTCTGGGTTGATACCTTTATTCCTGGAGGGCAGCGTGTGGCGATCTGTACGTGCTCCCGGACTGGCCGTCACCTGGCTACGTTCACTCGACGGCCTGGGTCTAGTCTGTACACACTGACCACTGCGTCTGCACAGGTGGCTGATGCAGGTCAGGTGGCTGCGTCGAGTCAGGTGTCTGCGTCTGGTCAGCTTGCAGCATCTTGCTCGTGTCGGGTACTCTCCCACCAGACTCTCCTCTGGCACCACCGCCTCGGTCACCCCTCCCTACCGCGTCTCCGCGGTATGCACTCCCGTCTTATTGTCTCTGGCCTTCCCAGGTCCCTGCCCTCCCTCCCGCGCTCGCCTGCCCTGCCGTGCCTTCCCTGCGTCGAGGGGCGGCAGCGCGCCGCTTCTCACTCCTCCGAGTTTCCTCCGACCACTGCTCCTCTGCAGACTCTCCACATGGACGTTTGGGGCCCAGCCCCCGTCGGTGGAACGGACCAGGAGCGCTACTTCCTGCTGGTTGTTGACGACTACACACATTACACCACTGTCTTCTCCTTGTGGCGCAAGGTGGACGTCAGCGGTGTTTTGATCCCCTGGATCCGTGCTACTGGTCGCCAGCTGCGCGAGCGGTTCAGTCAGGACTTCCCAGTCTTGCGTCTGCACTCTGACATGGGCGGTGAGTTTTCTTCTGACCTCCTTGCAGAGCTCTGTTGAGACGAGGGCATCTGCCAGTCGTTCACGCTTCCGGCCTCTCCTCAGCAAAATGGGATTGCTGAGCGTCACATTGGCTTGATCATGGAGGTTTTTGTGGCCGTTTGCGGTCCGATACGCTGCGCATCAGCTCAACCTTTGGCCCCATGTTCTCTGAGCCAGAGACCTTGCCCACACTCTGGTGGACGGGGAAGGTTCGCGATGCAGCAGTGTTTCGGGTCTGGGGTGCGCTCTCCCTTGTTTGCGATGCCAAAGCGAATAAGCTCTCCTCTCGCACTCTCCGCTGCGTCTTCCTTGGCTTCCCCACCGACGCCCCGCCGTGGCAGTTTTACCACCCGCGCTCGCGTCAGGTCTTCTCCTCCCAAGACGTCACCTTTGACGAGTCCGTCTATTAGTACCGGCTACACCCGCATGCGTCCCACCCGGTCCCCCTAGCGCCTCTTTTCTTGGTACCAGTCCCCCGACCGGTAGACCCCCTCCCCCCACAGGTTCCTGCTCCCTCAGGTGTGTCTCAGGTAGACTCACCCCCCTTGGTTGAGACTTTGGAGATCTCTTATAACTCCTTTGGCCCAGCTGAGGGGGGTGACCCCGCCGCTGACGACACGGCGGCCACTCGCCGCTCTCCACGCTTGGAGACCCCCCCTGGTTTTTCGCCTCGGCCGTCTTCGCCACCCCCGCAGCGTGCTGCTGTGGACTCTGGAGCTGAGCCTGCTGGTGCTGAGCCTGGGGGTGCTGAGACAGAGGGTGAGGGTTCTTAGGGTGCTGCGACTGGGGGTGCTGCGATAGAGGGTGCTGGTTCTTGGGGTGCTGCGACTGGAGGTGCTGACTCTAGGGATCCTGCGAGTCCTAGTGGCGGTGGAGCTGTGGGTGACCCTGCTGGAGGTCCTGGAGCTGGACAGTCACCGCAGCCTGACCTACTTGAGATGCTCTCGCCGCAGGTGATTCGTGCGTAGATCGTTCGGCGAGGCAGTCCTAGTGGTGGAGGGTACGGTCCTGCTGGTGCTGGAGCTGCTAGTCCTGGAGGTACTGCTGGTGCTGGAGGTACTGGAGGTACTGCTGGAGGTACAGGAGGTGCTGCTGGTGCTGGTGGTACTAGAGGTGCTACTGGTGCTGGAGGTGCCGGAGCTACTAGTCCTAGAGGTGCTACTGGTGCTGGAGGTACTGGACCTACTAGTCCTGGAGGTACAGCTGGTGCTGGAGGTGCTGCTGGTGCTGGAGGCGCTGGAGCTGGAGGTTCTAGAGGTGCTGGAGCTGCTGGTCTTGGAGGTGCTCGTACTGGAGGTGCTAGAGCTGCCGGAGCTAGTGGTGCTGTTAGTGCTGGAGGTGCTACTGGAGCTGCTGGCAGTGGAGGTACTGGAGGTACTGCTGGTGCTGGAGGTGCTGGAGCTGCCGGAGCAGGTGGTACTGTTGGTGCTGGAGGTGCTGGAGGTGCTACTGGAGCTGCTGGCAGTGGAGGTGCTGGAGGTACTGCTGATGCTGGAGGCGCTCAAGCTGGAGGTACTGGAGGTGCTGGAGCTGCTGGTCCTGGAGGTGCTCGTACTAGAGGTGCTTGAGCTGCGGGAGCAGGTGGTGCTGGAGGTGCTACTGGAGGTACTGGCACTGGAGGTGCTGGAGGTAGTGCAGGTGCTGCTGGTGCTGGAGGAGCTGGAGCTCCTGACACTGCCCTGTGCATACCGTTTTTCTACACGCCGCCGCAGTCGTCCCTGCCGCCGCCTGACTCGGTCCTTCGCCAGGTTCTTAGTCTCCCGTCTTCCACTGGCCTCCCTCTACCCCTCTTGTGTCCACCGACAGACCAGTCTCAGCCACAGCTACTGCCTGGCTCCCCAGAGCCTGCGCCTGCTCCTCACACTGAGGTGACAGAGTCCCTGACTGAGCATCGTGAGCCTGAGACTCATGCTTACACACCTGTTCGTGCTCGTTGTGTTGCTCGTCCTCGTCCTCCAGCTATCCCAAGCGCTCACGGTATGGCACTTCGTCCTTCCTCTGTTCCATAGCGTGTTGTCCTGCCTGAGCCTCCCGCGTCCTCTCTTCCGCACGTTCCTGACCCGTAGTCCGACCTTGCTTGTGCTGCCAGTCCTACTGTCACTCGTCTCCTTGCTACTTTCGTCACTGACCCTGACCTTGAGTCTACTGCTGCGTTTGCCCTAGTCACTGAGCTAGTCGACTTTGCAGCTAGGAGTCGTCTCGACTACGTCACGAGTCTTGTCACTGAGTCTGAGTCTGTTTGTCCTCCGTCTGTCGGGGGTGAGCTTGCCTTTGGCAGTGTCGTACTTGAGGACAGACAGTTTGACCTTGAGTGTCTTGCGGCCGCTTTACCTCGTTTCGCATCCATGCTGCTTTGCCCTGAGGGAGACTCGGATGCACTTGACATCCCTACTCCGCAGTCTTACGCCGAGGGGATCGCGGGTGAGTACTCCTCTCAATGGCAGACAGCCATGGACACAGAGATGGCTTCCTGGAAGTCCACAGGCACCTACGTCGACGAGGTTCCTCCTCCTGGGGCAAACATAGTCGATGGCATGTGGATTTTCAGAGTGAAGCGGCCCCCGGGTTCTCTGCCTGCCTTCAAGGCGCGTTACGTTGCTCGAGGCTTCAGTCAGCGACAGGAGGTCGACTTCTTCCAGACCTTCTCCCCCACCCCAAAGATTACTACTCTTCGGGTGCTGCTGCACGTTGCAGCACAGCGTGATTACGAGCTGCACTCCCTCGACTTCTCCACATCTTTCTTGCAGGGCAGCCTTCACGAGGAGATCTGGCTGCGCTGCCCACCTGGCTTCACTGGGTCGTTTCCTGCGGGTACCCAGTGGAGCCTCCGGTGGCCAGTCTATGGTCTCCGCCAGGCGCCCCCAGAGTGGCACGACACACTGAGGACTACACTTGTGGCTCTTGGGTTTGCTCCTTCCTCTACTGACGCGTCGCTGTTTCTACGCACCGACACTACCCTGCCGCCGTTCTACGTTCTCGTGTACGTTGACGACTTGGTTTTTGCTACTGCTGACACTGAGGCGCTGGCCCTAGTGAAGGCGGAGTTGAAGAAGAGACACACCTGCGCTGACCTGGGCGAGCTGCGTAGCTATCATGGCTTGCAAATCACCCGGGAGAGATCACGGCGCACCATCACCCTGACTCGGTCACACATGGTGCACCAGGTCCTTCAGTGCTTCGGCTTCCAGTTCTCCTCGCCACGCCCCAATCCTCTGTCTACCAGCCACTCGCTCTCAGCTCCACCTTCGGACGAGTCCGTAGAGCCGAGTGGTCCGTACCCAGAGCTTGTGGGTTGCCTCATGTACCTGATGACGTGCACACGACCTGATCTCGCGTACCCTCTCAGCCTCCTGGCTCGCTACATGGCTCCCGGTAGACACCGAAAGGTGCACTGGGATGATGCGAAGAGGGTATTGCATTACTTGTGCAGTACATCGGGCATGGGGCTACTGCTTGGAGGACGGGGTTCAGTGGTACTCACTGGACACTCCGACGCTTCTTGGGCCAATGACCAGGCGACTCAGCGTTAGTAACAGGGTTACACCTTCAGTCTTGGCTCTGGTTCTGTCTCGTGGAGGTCCACTCGTTCTTCTTCTGTGCTTAGTTCCAGCTGTGAGGCCGAGATCTACGTTGGGGCCATGGTTGCACAGGAGCTACGCTGGCTGACCTACCTGCTGACCGACTTGGGGGAGCGGCCTCGTTCTCCTCCAGTTCTGTACGTCGACAACAAGGCAATGCTTGCCTTGTGTCATGAGCAGAGACTGGAGTACAGAACGAAGCACATTGCTCTTCGCTACTTCCTTGCGCGTGAGCAGCAGCAGAGTTGTCAGCTCCGCCTTTCCTACGTGGCCTCGCGGGCCAACATTGCTGATGTGTTCACCAAGGCCCTTGGGTCTGGTGATCATCAGCGTTTTTGCACCGCTCTTGGGCTTGTGCCCACTCTGCCTCACTTGCTGGTTGCTTGACTTGCTCTTGTTGTACACTGATATATATCTTTACACCTGCTTGTTTACTCTTGCTAGGTTGTGATCAGTGTACCGCCTTGCTATGATAACTCTGCATGTGAACTGGCCTTGTGGCCGCTTGCTTGTGCTCAGATTGTGTGGTGTCCTTGAGATCCACCTTGAGCTTTGATTTGCTTTGTTCTCTTGCTTGACTGGTCTTGTGACCGTCTGTTGTGTTTGTTATCTCCCACTTAGCCTATGGGGGTGTGTCAAACTAAATGTTTCTGTTCTTTTTAGGCTATAGTGGGTTAGCCTACAAGGGGTAAAACACTTTAGGGCTAGTACCGTAAGGCCCCGGATAGAAGCGCAGGCCTCGGATAAGCGCCGGCGGTTGTAAAAGGGTGATGGCGCTTATATCCGGTCCTCGATTATAAGCGCACCCCTGGAGGCTTACGGATTATAAGCGCACCCCTGTATTATGACACATTATAAGCGCCTCCCTTTTTTATTTCGACTATTATTATCCTATCCTTTACAAGCTATTTTCACTACAACATAATATTTTTCCAATTCTACTACGGTACTAAATCCTACTGATAGTTTATCGCAACATTCACTGACCTTCTCTAGCATCCTATGCATTCTTTTCTTCCTAGCATCCTATGCATCACCATCAACAGTTGCGGAGCCATCTTGGTCGGCCTCCCCGTCCGACTCTGGCTCCTCTATGTTGTTGCAGCAGAATCCATCTGCTGCAATCTCGTCGTCAAGTTCTACTTCACCCTTGACGGCGTCCCGCCGGTGCTGCATGTAGAGATTGTCCTGGGACCCATCCAGGGCGTTGCTGATGCCACAGGTGAGAAACGAGCGCTGAATCAACTCCTTGGGCACGGCCTTCCAGGCCTTGGAGATCCACTTGAGTGTCAGCTCTGGAGGTGGCTTGCGGATGTTGCCTGCCACACATGGAAACACTACAGCAATCAGAACAGGGTGGAAACAGTCTAAGCAGACACATCGTACACGTTGAGATTGAGCTCACCTCTTTCGGTCAGGCAGTCGACCCCCTCGCTCTCGAACCACTCCTGGTACAGTTGGCGGACTGCTGCTTTGAATGAGCGGTTCACCACGACGTCAAGAGGCTGGATCTCAGAGGTGCAGCCAGCTGGTATGACGGCGGGGACGATGTCCAGCTACCCGAATTTTGCCTTCACAGCATCAGTGAGGTGCCCGCGGTAGGAGTCAAGAACCAACATCACTTTCCTGCCGCGTACTCCGAACCTGGGGTTGACATACGGGTTCACCGTCCCGTCGAGCCACGCGAGGACGCCGTCAGCGTCCATCCAACCGTTGGGATGTACGGCGACCACAACATCTGCACGTCCGAACAAGGCGTACGGACAGATTAGCATCAGACATAAAAAAAAATATCACATGCAAATAACACCGTCACTGCACAAGCTGCTCGGCTTACGGGAGGGGAAATTCCCCTTAGGAATTGTCTTGCGCTTAAAGAAGACCCAAGGCTTGAGCTTCTCGCCGCTGGCGGTGCAAGCGAGCATCACCGTCACGCGTTCTTTTTTATAGCCGCCGCTGCGGATGGGCACGGAGCGGACCCCCACCTCCTCGACCGTGCGTTCAGCTGGCATCTCGAGCCAGAGTGGCGTTTGATCGGCATTAATAATCCAGCGGTTGTCGATGCCGTACTGACGGCGGGAGTGTCACACGAACTTCCAGAAGTTCTGCACCTGTGTCTCACAATCTGCAAGGTAAGGGTGGGAGAGACAAACAAAAGAAGTAAATTAGAATTTCGAAGGTCGTAAGCAGCCATAAACGAGAGCGACAGCACAAACACCGACTCACCAGACGACAGCTTCTGGCCGACTCTGGTCTTCGCTCGGGTAGTGAGGTTCCAGCGTCGTCGAAAATGCTCAGTCCACCTCTGAGATCCAGCCCACTTTACCTCAGGATGCAGGATCTTCATCACATCATGTGACCACTTCTGCAATCGGCCGACGGACACGGCGAGACACTTTTTCTGGTGGGCAAGAACACGTGAGTACACCTCGATCTCCATGTCGCGGTACCACGACGCCCGACCACGCCCGTGAAGGCGCTTGCGAGCCCCATGCGCACCTTCCAGCTCACCCTTCCGTGACTTCCACTCTGGCAGGGACTTTCGGGAGATACCAATGTCGCGGGACATTCTCCGCACACTCACAGCTCCGGACTCCAACTTTGCAATCCACTGTAGCTTCTCCTGGGAAGTGTAGGATTTGCGCTTGTGCGTTGAAGGCTTGCTCCTGGGGGACGGGAGGCGGGCATCACGATTCTGTTTGGAGGGGTGGGGCCGTTTCTTATTCGGCGGGGGGAAACTAGGGACAGGCAGGTCCTCGGGAAGACCGTCGGCCGCCCACCACTCAACATCGTCTTCAGCACCAGTGGCGGATTCGTCGTACGGGCAGTCTTCCGCATCTCCCCAGCGTGGCGACAGACCGGGGCCGGGTTCATCGTCGCCGCTGCGCTCGGGCTCGGAGACGTACGCGTCGAAAGCTGAGTAACCGCGATGGAGGAGCTGTAGAACGGGCCGACCGTTGACGACGACGATAGGCGGAGCGGGAGGAGCAGGAGGTGCTGGAGGAGCAGGAGGCGCAGGAGGAGCAGGAGGAGCAGGAGGCGCTGGAGGAGCAGGAGGCGCTGGGCGACTCTGCCACTGAGAGTAATCGCGAGTGTTGCCAACAACAGGTCGACGGCTAAATAGGAAGTGGGTGCCTGGAAGGCCCGCCATGGCCTAGGCAGGCCGAGGGAAAACAAGAAAACTGAAGAAAACGAAGAGAATGAGCCTCGTTTGAAACCCTCGCCCGAGACCCCTCCAACTTCGCGGCCCGGGTTCCTCTGCAGGGAAAGGGGGAAAACTGTCAAGATCCCCCCGCAGAGGAGCTGAGGTGGTGAGGTCAATGCCTCGGTGGAGTGGAATCTTGCCGCGGCTGCCAATTGCGTGGTTATACAGAGTCGTGCCTGGCACGGCATGCGACCCTGATTGGGCAGTCGCACCCTAAACTACGTGTGCGCTAGCATGGGCCAGATTCATGTTCGATGAATCTGGCCAGGCCAGCAAGGCGTGATGGGCGTGATTCCACGCCTTGTTGGCCATTTCACGCACTTTTCATGCACGGATACGAACGTTCTAGATGTGGATTGAATCCCCTTTTGAAAAGGCTTCAATTTCATGTTAAAACAATACATTTCATTTTTGCCATTTTATAAACGCCGGCGCTTATAAATTTCCTCAATTATAAGCGCACCCCCTAAAAAACAGTGTTTTTTTTACCCCCAGGGGCGCTACTATACGGGGGCTGACGGTACTTGTACCCAACTCATTCATAGTTCATTCATTCCTGCACAGTGATTCTAACATGTTACACAATAGTTTTTATTTCGTGAACTCCAGCTTGATTTGCCATTCCAGGTTGGTTCAACAGAGCAAATTTATGCGAAGTCAGCTTGATGTGCGTTGCTGGCCTTCGAAGTTTGAACCAGTCTTTGCTTCCTACCAGCCTCCCACGCCCCTCTTTGAGGCGCCTAAAAAATCACCTCTTTGCTTCCTCCCAGGCCCCTCTAGTTTTGATCAGTGTCCTTCCTCTTCTCCTCTGATCCTGCTCGCATCCTCCCACCCAACCATGGTAAGAACGTGGAGAAGAGGGTGATGGTGGTGGCATCGTCAAGTTGAAGCAACGAGCGTCACATAGAAGAGGCCTCATACAGCCCAGGTGCCCCCACTGCCCTCCCTGCACCACCAGCATCACCACCACTGAATAGCACCCCTGTAACCTGCTTTCTGTGCCTCCTTATCTGTCTGCCCTGCTGCCCCTGCCCCCTTTCTCCCCCTCCCTCCTCGCTGCTTCCCCTGCTCCTCCTGCTTCCAGCCATGGCTAGACGTCAGAATGCGGAGGAGAGTGTGGCGGCATTGTCAAGGCGCAGCAAAGACCAACACCACCACACCCCTGACTGGGCCTTAGAATGCAGAGAAGAGCGTAATTGTATCGTCAAGGCGCAGCAGTGAGGTTTCCAGCACAGCCGCCACTCGCCACTGCTTCCTCTGCCCTCCCTTCACCACCAGCACCACCTCTGAAATGGAACACTTGGCTGGGCCTTAGAATGCAGAGAAGAGCGTAATTGTATCGTCAAGGCGCAACAAAGAAGTCTCCAGCACAGCCGCCACTCGCCGAATCCTCTCCAGCTACTTCCTTTGCCCTCCCTTCACCACCACCAGCAGCAGCACCACCACCACTGAATGGCATCACTGGCTGGGCCTTAGAACGCAGAGAAGAGCGTAATCGTATCATCAAGGCGCAACAAAGAAGTCTCCAGCACCGCCGCCACTCGCCGGATCCTCTCCAGCTGCTTCCTCTGCCCCGACGTCAACGCCACTGCTTTCTCTGGTGCTGCCCTCGCTTCCCCACCAGCAGCACCGCCTGTGCTGTGTGCTGCGTGCGCCTGCTCTATCTGCTCCAAAAGAGAGAGTACCTGGTAGGGTCACACATGGGTTATAAGCACACATGGGTGGTAAGGACATGGGTTACAAACACATAGATGAGAAGCACTCGCCGTATCCTCTCCAGCTGCTTCCTCTGCCCCGAAGTCAACGCCACCGCCTTCTCTGGTGCTGCCCTCACTTCCCCACCAGCGGAACTGGCACCGCCTGTGCTGCATGCGCCTGTTCTATCTGCTCCAGGAGAGACAGCACCTGGTAGAGTCACACATGTGATATAGGCACATGCATTATTGTCGAGATAGAAGCGCATGGGTTAATATCAGGTTATAAGCACATGGGTTCATTGGCGGAGCTGGCAGCACCGCCTGTGCTGTGTGCGCCTGCTCTATCTGCTCGAGGAGAGAGAGAGCGCCTGGTAGAGTCACACCAGTTACAAGCACATGACCAACGACTTATTATGATATAAGCAAGTTCGAAGGTTCTGCATGCAAGGCAGAGCCTTCAAACACTCGCCTAACCTACAACCAGTTCTCCCTCTCTCTCACCTCCTGCCACTGCTGGATCTAAGGCAGCAAACCCAGGCTAAGGTTGCAGGCAGCGTGGCACATGACTTTGGGTTGGAAGGCAGGAAGGCGGGGGCGTTAACCACTATGCCGACTCCCTCACCTCCTGCTCCTGCGGCATTTCATGCTCCAGCCTCAGGCTTTGGCACCATGGCACATGTGGTTCAGCACGAGGGGCAGAAGAACCATCAAACGCTCTCCCATGTTACACCCTTCCCCTCCCTGCTCACCAGAGCTCCTGCTGCATTTCATGCTCCAGACGTAGCCGCAGGTTGCAGGCGCCGTGGCACATGTGGTTGAGCATGCAAGGAAAAGCCACCAAGCAGAAAGGACAGTCACTATATACATTCCCAATTCTGCCCCTCTCGAACGGTCCTTACCTCCTGCTCCTGCTGCATCTCATGCTCCAGTCGTAACCGCAGGTTACAGGCGCCGTGGCACATGTGGTTGAGCAATTATTAGGTACATGGCCACTCCCTACCCTCCCTCTCACCTCCTGCTCCTGCTGCATTTCATGCTCCAGTCGTAACCGCAGGTTACAGGCACCATGGCACATGTGGTTCAGCACGCGGGGCAGAACCGTAGCGATGTGGATGCGCCAAAGGTAGAAGGTCCTCTGAGGGGCGTGATCAGCCGTCTTGGGGACTTCCTGTGGAAAGAGAAAGACAGGGCAGCCAAAGAGAGGAAACGGTGGCACATGTGGTTGAGCACGCGGGGCAGGACAGTCGCAATGTGGATGCGCCAGAGATCGAAGGTCCTCTGAGGGGCGTGATCAGCCGTCTTGAGCACTTCCTGTGGAAGGGAGAGACAGGAGGGCAGAAGAAGGGAGACGGTTGCAGGGAGAATGAACGCGCGGCAGAACCGTGGCAATGAGGATGCGCCAGAGGTAGAAGGTCCTCTGGGGCGCGTGGTCTGCCGTCTTGGGGACTTCCTGTAGATAGAAAAAGAGGGGAGAGAATGGCAGGGGGAGTGCAAGCAGGGCAGTACCGTTGCTATGTGGATGCGCCAGAGGTAACAGGTCCGCTGAGAGGCGTGATCAGCTGTCTTGGGGACTTCCTGTGGGACAGATGAGCAGAGAAGGGAGAGAGTGGCAGGGAGGGAGCACATGGGGCAGCACAGTCCTGATGTGGATGCGCCAGAGATAGAATGTTCTATGAGGGGCGTGGTCTGCTGTCTTGGGGACTTCCTGTGAAATAGGTTTAGGGTTTAGGAGAGACAGGGGATATGGCTGGCGGGATGAAGAATGCACGCAGGGCAGGGCAGGACCGTTGCGATGTGAAATGCACCCATGCACGCACACACAATACCCAGGAAGCAGATCTGAACCTTCAACCAAAGCGCACCTGCAGCTGAACATGGGGTAGGGCAGTGGAGAAACGAGAGCCATTCATGGCATCCACACTCAAACAGCTGGAGGTTTTGAGACGTCTCAAAATTGTTGTTTTTTTTTTACGTCGTTTTTTTTTTTTTTTTTTTTTTTTTTTTTTTTTTTTAGACGTCTCAAAACATGGGGTAGAGAGCAGTGGGGAACGAGAGCCATTCACAGCGTCCATACTCAAATCAAACGGCTGGAGATAAGGCATGTGTGTTCCAAATAGACTGTTTGAGAATAAAACACACATGCCATACCTGCAGCTGCACGAATTCGTCCAGCATCGTGCGGTAGAGCAGCTGCACCAGAATATGTCATGCCATACCCGCACCTGCACTCATCCCACCAGCAGCATGCCCAGAGGAGCTAGGTAGAGTATCTGGCACATGCAACCACATCATACCTGCAGCTGCACAAACTCATCGAGCATCATGCGGTAGAGCAGCTGCCGTGTGTCCGCAAGGGAGATCATTGCCAGCTCTGCTGCCTGGTGGGTGCGAATGGGAAAGGGGAAGGGAGGGCAATCATGTCGTGTCAGGTTTAGTTAGCTAATGGACGGCAGTTGATGATGCGCGTCCGTAAGGCCAGTGATATGATTGCCAGCTGCTGTGATGCGACTCAAAAACTCATCCAGCATCATGCGGTAGAGGAGCTGCCTTGCATCCCAAGGGATAAAATCGCCAGCTCTGCTGCCTGGTGGGATGGGGAGAGAGATAGAGAGAGGGGATAGGGATAATGCGATACGGGGAGGGAGTGAGAGAACTGGTTAGAGTAAATGTGGGGGGGAGCCCCTTTTGGTGTTGCATACACCTGGCTGTCCGTCGTGACCCCCCTGCCCTGCCCATTTCAGTTTTGAGACGTCTCAAAACCTGGCTGTCCATCGTGACCCCCCTGCCCTGCCCATTTCAACCTTTACGAGAACAAAAAGAGCTAAAAAAAAAGAAAGAAAAGAAAAGAAAAGAAAAGAAAAGAAAAACCTTCATGTTGCTAAACTATTTCGAGTTTTCTTCAGAGATTTCGAAGATTTCTCAAAAACATCTATGCTGCAGGATATTGCTAGGGACAAAAAAAAAGGGGGTGAATTCTTAATGGTCTCATTTCCCTTCCCACCACCTCACCTGCTTCTGCTCCAGGCAGTTCTTGGACAGCAGCAGGTGGAAAAGTCGGCAGGTGGCTTGAGGCTCATGACCCACCTCCTATACAACACCCTCTTATCGCCCCTCCTCTCTCACCTGCCTCTCCTCTTATCGCCCTTCCTCCCTCACCTGCTTCTGCTCCAGGCAGTTCTTGGACAGCAGCAGGCGGAACAGTCGGCAGGCAGACGGCCCAAAACGCTGAGACACTATCGCTTCCACCTGCAAGGGGTGGTGTGGTGGGAGGGAGGGGGTGATGGAGAGAGGTTGGAGAAGTGGTGTGTGTGATGAGAAGGCCCTAACCAATGCAAGACTACACCCAAAGTTGGGTGTAGTCCCAACCCAACTGTACACCACAATTGGTGTACAGTCACAAGTGTTAGCATGCTAGAACATACAATTCTAACAGTGTGTGTGATGAGAAGGCCCTAACCAAGGTTGAAACGAAGAAATGGTTGAAAGAAGTGGTGATGAGCATGGGAGGAAGCTTGATTTAGGGTTACAAACGAAGGGTTACAAACGAAGGGCACAATGTTTGACAGTCTACTTTAGCAACTCCCTAACCAATGTCCCTCATTCCAGGAGTCAGCTCAAGTCAACGCACCTCTCCATGGGTGAATTCGACTCAGCACACCTCTCCATCAGTCAACTTGAGTCAACGCACCTCTCTAAGCTTCACTAGCTCGATAATCTTCGCAGATTCTGAGAGGCAACAGCAGAAGTGACCATTCACACGGTATCCATACATTCACACATGCATGCACACATACACACACACATGCAAGCACAGGCACGCACACAGAACAAGGTTAGCAGAGATGCACATGCACACACACATACTCGCACACATGCATGCGCGCACACACACACACACACACGCACACACACACACACACACACACACACACACACACGCACACACACACGCACACGCACGCTGGGATGGACAACGAGCAGCTGCAGTGCTGCTCTGATCTGATTTCGTGGCTTATGCGCTCAGTAAACATAGCATTCACCACTCACGGATGGTTTAGTAGGCACTGGTGGAGCAGCAACGGCGCTGGAGTGTGCCGCGAGCAGCTGAAGAGCAGCTCTGATCTGATCTGGTGGCTTACACGCTTTTTGTGGAGCAATATGGGAAGCATAACACCCAACCACCATAATGTGTATGGAACTCACGGATGGTGTAGTGAGCGTCTGAGGCGCGAGAAGCGACAGCGCTGGGATGGGCCAAGAGCAGCTGAAGTGCTGCTCTGATCCAATCCAGTGGCTTATTATGTATCATGATGCAATGTGATGGGACCAAGACAAGACTCACAAAGTAGGCAGCGTGCTCACATAATGACTCACGGATGGTGTAGTGGGCATCAGAAGCACGAGAAGCAACAGCGCTGGGATGAGCGACGAGCAGCTGCAGCGCCGCTCTGATCCGATCCAGAGCCATGGTGCGCCCATCTGCTGTCCCTCGCACTGCATTGACTATCGAATCAAGGGAGAGCGATGCTGGGAGGGGAGGGAGGGGAAGAAGGGAGGAAACAGGAAAAGTAAGAGGTGCAGAGGGGTGTGATTCAGTGGAGAGCCATGATGCGACCGTCCACGGTGGATCGCACTACATTGACTATCGAATCAAGGGAGAGAGATGCTGGGAGGGGAAGCATGGAGCAGACGACGGAAGGGAGAAACAGGGGAAAAAGGTGAGGTGTGAATAGGAGGGCAGAGGGGTTCAGAGGAGTAGTGGTGATGAGGGTCTGATTGGATCCAGGGCCAGGGTGGCTCGCACGACTATGGAGTAGAGGGAGGGGGGTGCTGGGAGGGGAGGGAGGGGAAGGAGGGGAGGGAGGGGAGGGAGGCGAGGAATGAAAGGGAAGGGTTGGAAGGTGAGCAGAAAAGGAAATGAAGAAAGAGAGCTTGTATGGCTCGTCACAAGGCTCAGTGATCACATGTCTCATATTGAAGCACTGGTGGAAACAAATTCAAGGGAGTGAGGTGTGTTACCTGAGTACGGGTGTCGGAGAGAAGTTTCCTGGTTCTTTCCGGCATGGAGCAGGGCGGCAGTGATGATGGAAGCCCCTGGGTCGATGCTCTCTCGCACAAAGTCCACTATGGTCTGGTGGATAGGGGTGAAGAGGGGTGAAGAGGGGGGTGAAGAGAGGGTTGAAGAGTGGTAGAGATGGGTGACGAGTGGTGGAGATGGGTGTGGGGAGCAGCAATCATGGAATGGAAGCGCCTGGGTCGATGCTCTCTCGTACAAAATCTACTATGGTCTGGTGAAGAGGGGTGAAGAGGGGTGAAGAGAGGTGAAGAGTGGCGGAAATGGGTGTGGTGAAGAGGGCAGCATCGATGATGGAAGCGCCTGGGTCGATGCTCTCTCGCACAAAATCTACTATGGTCTGGTGGAGAGGGGTGAAGAGCGGTGAAGAGTGGTGGAGATGAATGTGGGGAGGAGGGGTATGGGTGGGGAAGGGTGTGGGGAGAGATGATCGGCGAAAAAACAAAGGAAGGGAGGGCATCATCAAGTAAGGCACACATATTCTTTCAAGGAGGAACTCACCTGCCTCCCACCTGCCATCAAGCTGCCCGTGTGTACCGAGTTGAGTTTTGAGTCGACTCAAAACTCTTCAAGGAGGAACTCACCTGCCTCCCACCTGCCATCAAGCTGCCCGTGTGTACTGAGTCGAGTTTTGAGTCGACTCAAAACTCTTCAAGGAGGAACTCACCTGCCTCCCACCTGCCATCAAGCTGCCCGTGTGTACTGAGTCGAGTTTTGAGTCGACTCAAAACTCTTCAAGGAGGAACTCACCTGCCTCCCACCTGCCATCAAGCTGCCCCCCACCTGGAGCGCAATTGAAGGCCACTTGAATCTGTTTTTTTTAGGAACTCACCTACCTCCCATCTGGAGCGCAACTGAAGGCCACTTGAGCCCACCTGGTGTCTCGTTCTCCTGAGGAACTCCTCGTAGTTCACCCGCCAGAGCACGCCAGAGTCCTCCCCTCCTCCCTGCTTCTCCCCTCCACCTGCACTCCCACCCACTGCTGCCGACCCCGTTGCAGGCCGCTTGGCACTCGGGCCCGCTTGCCCCTCCTCATCATCGTCATCCATAACCACTCGTTTCCTCTGCAAGTGCAGTGCGGTGGGGTGCGGTGCAAGGGCAGAAACGAGAAACACTGTGTGGTGGTGCGGCCAGAGCTTGCCGCTCGGGCCCTGCTTGCTCCTCCTCCTCCTCATCGTCATCCATAACCACTCGTTTCCTCTGCAAGTAAGTGAGGAGGAGAACACGGAAAAAGGGGCATAACATTGTCTAGAAAAAACTTGCTTCTCCCCTCCACCTTCACTCCCACCCACTGCTGCCGCCCCCGTTGCAGGCCGCTTGGCACTCGGGCCCGCTTGCTCCTCCTCATCGTCATCGTCTAGAACAACTCGCTTTCTCTGCAAGTGCAGAGAAACAAGGGTAGAAAAGGGGAACACCGTGTGCTGCCACCCCGATTGCAGGCCGCCTGGCACTCGGTCCCGCTTGCTCCTCATCATCGTCATCGTCATCGTCTAGAACCACTCGTTTCCTCTGCACAGGAAGTGCGGAGAAGAAGGGCAGAAAGGGGACGACTTTTGAGGCGCCTCAAAAGTCGGAGAAGAAGGGCAGAAAGGACACACTGTGTGATGGTGGCACCCGTGGATGCCGCGTGGCACTCGGTCCCGCTTGCACCTCCTCATCGTCATCATCGTTTAGAACCACTCGCTTCTCTGCAAGTGCGGAGAAACAAGGGTAGAAAAGGGGAACACCGTGTGCTGCCAACCCACCCCGTTGCAGGCTGCTGTTCCTCCTCATCGTCAAAGTCTAGAATAACTCACTTCTTCTGTAAGTGAGGAGAACAAAGGAAGTAGGGGGGATCACTTTGTGCTGTGGTGGTACCAGTGCGGAAAGCGCATAAGAAACGGGCAGCTGGAAGCGAAGGGCATGGCTGCTCTTGCGCCTGAATTTGTTTTCGAGTCGACTCAAAAACCTTGCTGCAACAACATGGCTGGCTGCTCCTGCACCTCAATTTACCTGATCCGACTGCTCACCTCCAACTTTCCTGCTGATCCGACTGCTCACCTCCAACTTTCCTGCTGATCCGACTGCTCACCTCCAACTTTCCTGCTGATCCGACTGCTCACCTCCAACTTTCCTGCTGATCCGACTGCTCACCTCCAACTTTCCTGCTGATCCGACTGCTCACCTCCAACTTTCCTGCTGATCCGACTGCTCACCTCCAACTTTCCTGCTGATCCGACTGCTCACCTCCAACTTTCCTGCTGATCCGACTGCTCACCTCCAACTTTCCTGCTGATCCGACTGCTCATCTCCAACTTTCCTGCTGATCCGACTGCTCACCTCCAACTTTCCTGCTGATCCGACTGCTCACCTCCAACTTTCCTGCTGATCCGACTGCTCACCTCCAACTTTCCTGCTGATCCTTGTGCTGCTGCTAGTACTGCACCTTCCTGCATCAGCACCGCTGCCCCTGCACCTGAATCTACCTGATCCGAAAGGAAAGCTCACCTTCAACTTTGCTGCTGCCGCTGCTGACATTCCCCCATCCGCCCCTGTGCTCCCATCCACAGGAGCACTAACAGCACTAGCAGCACCGCCACCAGCGTCATCACCTCCCGACAGCACCCAGGCAGCGGGCAGCTGGAAGCGCAGAGCATCACTGCAGCGGGCTGCAACGACCACGCGGTGCTCCTCCGAATCGAAGTAGCCGGATGATTCCATCATGGCTCGCGTGCGCTGAAAGAGTGAGCAAGGGGGGAAACATGGCAGGAGTGAGCGGGAGTGTGACTGCAGCGCGCTGGAACGACAACGCGGTGCCCCTCCGAGTCAAAGTAGCCAGACGATTCCATCATTGCCCGCGTGCGCTGAGGGGAAGGTAAGAGGACGGCACGGAGGAGGTCAGGGGAAGGGGGAGAAGAGGGGATGGGGCTATAGAAACCACAACAGGAGTGAGCGGAGAGCGTCACTGCAGCGCGCTGCAACGACCACACGGTGCTCCTCCGAGTCAAAGTAGACAGACGATTCCATCATTGCCCGCTTGCGCTGAGAAAGGAATGAAGGGTGAAAGCAGGAAGAGAAGGGAAGGGGTCGGGGACATTCAAGCATGAGAGGAGAGGAGTGAGTGTGGCTGCAGGAGCGAGCTGCAACGACCACACAGGGCGCTTCTGAATCAAAGTACCCTGACGATTCCATCATTGCCCGCTTGCGCTGGAAGGTAAGGTAAGGAGACAGCAGAGAGGGAGGGAGGTGGGGAGGAGGGGGCGGGTATGGAAACCACAACAGGAGTGAGAGCGAGTGCCGCTGCAACGACCACACGGTGCTCCTCCAAGGCGAAGTAGCCAGACGATTCCATCATTGCCCGCGTGCGCTGAGAGGGTGAGAGTGAGAGGAGGAAGGAGAGAATAGAAAAGAAACCACGTCAGGAGAGATTTTTGAGGCGCCTCAAAAATAGAAAAGAAACCACGTCAGGAGCATGGGCACAGCGTGGTGCAACGACCACATGGTGCTCCTCCGAGTCAAAGTACCCAGACGACCCCATCATTGTAGAGCCATCTGACAGCATCCAACGATATCTGACGGTATCCCAAGTTGCTGCTTCCTCTTGAGAATGCAGGACGTTTTCGAGAATGCTCCCAAATCTACCCCTCTGCAGGTCGATTAGTGAACCGGAATAGGCATTATAAACAAGAGGGGAAGAATTTCAGGAGAGGGAAACCAAACTCACCACTCGCGCACGAGAAGCGGGCTTGGGAGCATCGCCGCCGCTGGTTGCTCCCCGAGCCAGCAGCATAGGCTCGGGGGCCCCGACCCTCTCGACGAGCCTCTCATGGATCAGCACTGACAGGGCCGCGACCAGCTGCTGCCGAACCTGACCCTCGGCTGCAAGAACGGCAGGGCGAGAAAATGAATGTGAAACGACAGAATCATTGCTGCAAGAACGGCAGGGCGAGCAAATGAATGTGAAACGGTAGGTGGACCGGCACCACAGAAAATACACAAAAAATGACAAAAGAGAAGCAAACGAAAAAGCAAACAAACAAACAAAGGAAGAACAAGCCATTTGCTCTTGGGGCGCCTCAAAACAGACATACTACATACATAATCAATGGGCAGTCAGCCAACAAGTTGCTTACTCTTGGCAGCAGAGAGGTCGGATGAGCCACTGATCGCTGCACGAGTTGATGCAGTGACAGGCGACCGTGCTCCAGTAGAGCCTCTACCAACTGGTGCATACACCGCACCACACCACACACCACACCACATACATGCATACTCTCGGGCTCCTGACCCTTCAAGGCACGTGCATACATACTCTTTGCAACGGAGGGATCAGACGAGCCAGCCTTCGCCACTGATCGCTGCACGAGCTGGTGCAGGGACAGTCGGCCGTGCTCTAGAAGAGCCTCTACTACTGCCTCTGCCTGATGAAAGGAAGGGAGGGAAGGGAAAGGGGGGAATGGGGCACCCAGGAATCTGTGGTGTGCTCGTTGCACGAGCTGGTGCAGTGACAGTCGGCCGTGCTCTAGAAGAGCCTCTACTACTGCCTCTGCCTGATGAAAGGAAGGGAGGGAAGGGAAGGGGGGGAATGGGGCACCCAGGAATCTGTGGTGTGCTCGTTGCACGAGCTGGTGCAGTGACAGTCGGCCATGCTCCAGAAGAGCCTCCACCAGTGCCTCTGCCTGACAAGGTGTGTGTTGGAGGGGGAAGGGAAAAAGTGGCGGGCGTGGATGCGGCATGGGAACAGTGTGTGTGGTGTGCTCGCTGCACGAGCTGGTGGAGGGACACGCGACCATGCTCCAGAAGAGCCTCCACCACTGCCTCTGCCTGATAATGGTTGTTAACGAGGGGGTGCGGGAAGAGGGGGTGTGAATGGGGCATGAAGGGAAGTGTGGTGTGATTGCTGCAAGAGCTGGTGCAGGGACAGGAGGCCATGCTCTAGAGGAGCCTCACGACTGCCTCTGGCTGATGAAAGGTGTGATGGATGCAGGGAAGTGAGGAAGGGGAGGGGCGGATGGGCATTATGGCGACTGTGGTGTGATCGCTGCACAAGCTGGTGCAGGGATAGGCGGCAGTGCTCTAGAAGAGCCTCGGAGCGGTTGGAGAGGGGTCGAGGGACGAGAAGGCAGAACAGGGAAGAGGGCATTTTCAAAACGGAGCATGTTTTGGAATGGTGGTTGCTGCAGAAGGTGGTGCAGGGACAGGCGGCTCTGCTCTTCCAGAAGAGCCACGTGATACCAAATTAGGTCTGAAACGTCTGACGGCAAGTTCATTCCACTTTTTAAGACGTCTCAACTCAAAACATGAGCGGGTGCAGGGAGAGGAGACCCACCATTCCCCCTCCCCCCCCCAGCCCACGTTGTCCCCCAGCAGCTCGTTTGTCTACGCCATGAACTTGGGGAAGCCACGTGTAAAAAGTGAATTTTTGAGACGTCTCAAAACATGAGCGGGTGCAGGGAGAGGAGACCCACCATTCCCCCTCCCCCCCCCAGCCCACGTTGTCCCCCAGCAGCTCGTTTGTCTACGCAATGAACTTGGGGAAGCCACGTGTAAAAAGTGAATTTTTGAGACGTCTCAAAACATGAGCGGGTGCAGGGAGAGGAGACCCACCATTCCCCCTCCCCCCCGCCCCCCAGCTCACGTTGTCCCCCAGCAGCTTGTTTGTCTACGCCATGAACTTGGGGAAGTGCAGGGCAGGCAAGGCAGGATGGAGCACCATGCCTTGATAACGCATTCACTCACTGCACCCCACTGCACTGTGTCCCACTCCACCCCACTGCACTGTGCCCCACTGCACTGCACTGTGCCCCACTGCACTGTGCCCCACTCCACCCCCACTGCACTGTGCCCCACTCCACCTCCGCGCACACACCTCATCCCCCAGCAGTTCGTTCGTCTGAGCCATGAACTTAGGGAAGCGCAGGCGAGGCAGAATGGAGTCCTGAAGAGCGATGTAGAGAGTTGGCGTGCGGGCCAGGGGACCCGTGTCTGGAATTAGATGGGGGGCGAGGGAAGGGGGAGTGAGAAGTTGGTTCGAAGGGCAGGCGAGGCAGAATGGAGTGATGCAGAGCGATGTAGAGCGTGGGCGTGCGGGCAAGGGGGCCGGTGTCTGGGGGAAAAGAAGCAGGGGTTTGGAGTGGTTGGAGGGGGTGTGAGAAGTTAGCTTCATGCGTATCGCAGGCGAGGCAGGGTGGAGCCCTGTAGGGCGATGTAGAGCGTGGGCGTGCGAGCAAGAGGACCCGAGCCTGGGGGGGAGGGAGTAGAGGGACGGGGGGAAGTGGGGGGACGGGGGGAAGGATGGTTTGAGGGGCAGGCGAGGCAGGGTGGAGCCCTGTAGTACGATGTAGAGCGTGGGCATGCGAGCAAGAGGACCCGAGCCTGGGGGGGAGGGAGTAGGGGGACGGGGGGAAGTGGGGGGACGGGGGGGAGTGGGGGGACGGGGGAAAGGATGGTTTGAGGGGCAGGCGAAGCAGGGTGGAGCCCTGTAGTGCGATGTAGAGCGTGGGCGTGCGAGCAAGAGGACCCGAGCCTGGGGGGGAGGGAGTAGGGGGACGGGGGGAAGTGGGGGGACGGGGGGGAGTGGGGGGACGGGGGGAAGGATGGTTTGAGGGGCAGGCGAAGCAGGGTGGAGCCCTGTAGTGCGATGTAGAGCGTGGGCGTGCGAGCAAGAGGACCCGAGCCTGGGGGGAAGGGAGTAGGGGGACGGGGGGAAGTGGGGGGACGGGGGGGAGTGGGGGGACGGGGGGAAGGATGGTTTAAGGGGCAGGCGAGGCAGGGTGGAGCCCTGTAGTGCGATGTAGAGCGTGGGCATGCGAGCAAGAGGACCCGAGCCTGGGATTAAAAGAACGGGAGAGTGGGGGACGGGAAGGTGGAAGGGCAGGAGGGGGTGAGTGTGGCACTGAGAGGATGGAGTGGTGCAGAGCGATGTAGAGGGTGGGCGTGCGGGCAAGAGGACCCGTGACTATGGTTGGGAGGGCAAGGCAGGATGGAGTGGTGCAGAGCGATGTAGAGGGTGGGCGTGCGGGCCAGGAGACCCGTGTCTGGGGGCGGGTGGGGGGGGAGGTGGGGGGTTTGCAAGGAGCAAGGAAGGAAGGGGGGAGTTCGAACCGGTTCAAAGGACAGGCGAGGCAGGATGGAGTGTTGCAGAGCGATGTAGAGGGTGGGCGTGCGTGCGGGCCAGGGGACCCGTGTCTGGGGAGGGGAGCAGGAGGGGTTGGGAGTGTGGTTAACAAGGGTGCAAAGAACTCAGCACCCTGAAGCCTGAGGGAGCGGGGAGAGCTCTGAGAGGTTAAACCCGCGCAGTTGTGCTGCACTAGCACCAGGAGAGCGGAGCGAAGAGAGGGGGAAGGGAGGGGAGGAGGGAGGAAACCCAACACCCTGAACCCTGAGGGAGCGGGGAGAGCTCTGAGAGGTTAAACCCACAACAACCCTAACCCCTGTCTTACCATCAGTTTGTGGCCGAAAGGCCTGGGCGCAGTTGTGCTGTACGAGCACCAGGAGAGCAGAGCGGAGAGAGGGGGGAGGGAGGGCGGTGAAGCGGGAGAGGTCTTGCATGGACAGGCCGAGCTGTCCCTTCTCCAGTAGTGTTCGACATACCGTCTGATAGGAGGGGATAGGGGGATGGATATAGGGAATGAAGGGAGGAAACTTTGTGAAATTAAAGGGAGGGCGGTGAAGCGGGAGAGGTCTTGCATGGACAGGCCGAGCTGTCCCTTCTCCAGTAGCGTGCGGCATACGGTCTGTTAGGAGGGGTCAGAGGGGCACAGGGAGGGGAATGGGGGGAGGGAGGGCAGTGAAGCGAGCGAGGTCCTGCATGGACAGGCAGAGCTGGCCCTTCTCCAGCAGGGTGCAGCATACTGTGTGAACAGGGGGGGGGGAGGAGAAAAACAGGATGGAAGAGAGGGAACAGGGAAATTGAAAAGAGGGAGGTGAAGCGGGCGAGGTCCTGCATGGACAGGCCGAGCTGTCCCTTCTCTAATAGTGTGCGGCATACCGTCTGATAGGAGGGGATAGGGGGATGGATAGGGAGTGAAGGGAGGAAACTTGGTGAAATTAAAGGGAGGGCAGTGAAGCGGGAGAGGTCTTGCATGGACAGGCCGAGCTGGCCCTTCTCCAGTAGTGTTCGACATACCGTCTGGTGGGGGGAGAAGGGGGGGGTTAGGGTAGAAGGAAAAAGGAATTAACGGGAGGGCAGTGGAGGGACAGGCCGAGCTGTCCCTTCTCCAGTAGTAGTGTGCGGTATACTGTCTGTATGAAGGAAGGAGGGCGGGTGAGGAGAGGGGGGGGGGGGGGGGGAAGGGAAACGAGGGAGAGGGACGGCGTGTAGCGTGCGCGGTCTTGCGGGGACAGGCCGACCGAGATGACCCTTCTCTTGTACACCTGGATCCACCTCTCCCAGGTAACACCTGGATGCACCTCCCCCAGGTAACAACTGGATGCGCCTCTCCCAGGTAACACCTGGATGCACCTCCCCCAGGTAACACCTGGATGCACCTCTCCCATGTAACACCCGGACGCACCTCCACCTGGTCGCCGAAGTGGTCCTTCACGATCCCACACGCCAGCTCTCGCGCGTACGGCGTCGGCATTCCCAAGGTTCTTTTCCCAAGCGAGTTGGTTTTCAAAGCTAAGGTTCTTCCAAGCTACTGAGGCACGTAGAGCGAAGCACTATCACTTCCTACCACCGGCATAGTGACTGATTTTCAAAACTAGGGTTCACTAGCACTGCCCCGATCACAGGCGGCTGACTACTTTCGCAAATGCCGAATCCCGCATGCCCTAGCGTGGAGTCGTCTCGGAGTTTCCTTTCAGCGATATCACGAACGCTCCTTCTGCTGAGATGCGTGACCGCCGTCGCACACGCAGAATAACCGCCACAGCGATACGCTAAGATTGAATCCTCATTAGCTCCCTTACGGCCGCATTGGGCAAGCAAGCCTGCAATAGGCTTTCAGTGGGGTCAAGAAGCGGATTCGCCAGAAAGTGTTTCGGGCGGAAGTTTTACTCCTGTCGTGGTGTGCTGCATTGTTAAAACAAATACTTCTCATTACGGTAATAAGCAATATCTGAAACCACCATCACTCTAGAACAAACCTCCACGTTGACAACGTTTGATGCAGTAAACAAGGAAATTTCTTATTTTCTGAACCACTATTTACAGGGAGTGAACTTATTGACAACGTTTGATGCAGTACCGAACATTCACATTTTACTATCCTCGAACAAGGAAACCGCGAGAGTGTCTTTACCCTGGCTTTGTATCTACAGTTCCTTGTCTTCTGCTATCACCACTAGCTGCTATCTCATTCTCCCTTCCTTCCACCCCCCCTGCTTCCGCTCCCTCCTTTTCACACCACCCCCGTTTCCTTTCTCATTATCAGCATTGCTATCAGCCCCACCGATTCCCAGCAGCAGCATCGGCGTTACAATCGGCCGGCTGGTTACCGCTCTGCACCCGCTCCGCTATGTACGTCATTGCCATCTCCATCATCGCCTGGCTGTTCCTCTTCATCTGCGAGGGGAAGGAGAGGGGGAGGGGGGGGGTCACAAAAGATAGATGTGGTATCGGCAGCAGCGTCGGGGTTACAGTCGGCGGGCTGGTTACCGCTTTGAGTCTGCTCGGCTATGCATGTCAATGCCATCTCCATCATTGCTTGGCTGTTCCTCTTCATCTGCACAAGGAAAGGGACAGAATGAGAGGAGGGATGGAGAGGGTAACAAAGAGCCAGATGTGCTACCAACAGCAAACAAACAGTGCATCTTACACGAATCTCTGCAAACCGTGCGAAATCAATGCAATTTGCAACCATGTAAGCACTGTCTGCAGGCAGAAAATCTCAGTCAATCAGTGCTGTAAACACAGACGATTGCCGAGGCGCATAACGAATCTACCATGATCAAAAGACAGAGGAGTAAACCAAGAATGGTACGCACGCACCTCTGCCTGTGCCCCCTGCCGGATCTTCCCCTGCATCACACACCGCTTCTTGAAATGCACACCTGCATGCATGTACACACAGGCACGCATTGGAATATGGAAACGTCAACAAGAGTCAAACTATACGAAACGCGTGTTGATAAAAAAAACACTGACACGTGTATGCATGGGCACGAAAAGAACAAGGCCGGAATCTGACCTCTATTGACTTTTGAGACATGTGAACCGGCAGAACCACTGACCTGCTTTGAGCTCGGCACTGCACGATGGGCTCTCGGGGTTGTCGGATGTCGTTTTGACCCTAAGCCAACTCATACTTGTCACTTTTTCAACCACTCAAAACCCACGCACCCACCTGCTTTGAGCTCGGCAGTGCATGATGGACTCTCGGGGTTGTCGGATGTCGTTTTGACCGTCCACTGCGCGTGCACCTGCGAACGACAGCAAAGAACAAAAGGGTCGAAAAAAAAAACCAGTTTCTAGATGTTTAAGAGCCAACACCACAGATTTCATCTCTAGTTTTATTAGGTGCTCGAAGAACAAAAGGGTCGAAAAAAAAAACCAGGTGCTCGAAGCCCAGCCACACACACGCCTCTCCTCAAAGAAGGACCAGATGGGACAGAGAGAATGCGTCTGGTCAGGTTAAACAGTCGCCTAAAACGATCGCATCACTTCAAAAATGGCCTCAAGACATCACATCAGAGAAACTCTCTCAATATAATCACATCACATCACACCACACGCCTCACCTCAAAGTAGGACCCAAAAGGCACATCATGCGCCTGGTTTATTAGCTCCAGAACCTGGTGGGAGGCCAGGTTTGCGAGTTGGATGATGTGAAGTTTTAATGTAGAGACAAGACCACATCATGCGCCTGGTTTATTAGCTCCAGAACCTGGTGGGAGGCCAGGTTTGCGAGTTGGATGATGTGAAGGTTAAATGTAGAGACAAGACCACATCATGCGCCTGGTTTATTAGCTCCAGAACCTGGTGGGAGGCCAGGTTTGCGAGTTGGATGATGTGAAGGTTAAATGTAGAGACAAGACCACATCATGCGCCTGGTTTATTAGCTCCAGAACCTGTGGTTGTGAGCGCAGCACTGCGATGAAAGTAGTGTTTTGAGACGTCTCAAAACACTACGTTTAACACAGGGATGGCAGGGCAGTATCTCTGGTTGGGAGAGCACTTCAGGGTTTAGGGTTTGGGGTGCTTTTGATAAAAAACATGCACGCACCAGGTGCTAGAATGGAAAATGCACGTACCAGGTGCTTGTGGTCAGGAGCAGAGAAGGGTGTGTGCTGCCACACAGTCATTGCAGTGGAGTGTGGGCACATGGGGTGACTTTGAGTCGACTCAGAAGTCACCTAGCTAAATCACTCATGTACTTCAGAAATAATGGGAACATGCACACACCAGGTGCTTGTGGTCCGGAGCTGAAAAGGACATGTGCTGCCACTCAGTCATGGCTGTGGAGGGTGGGCACATGGGGTGACATTGAGTCGACTCAGAAGTCACCTAGCTAACTCACTCATGTACTTCAGAAATTATTAGGGCATGCGCGCACCAGGTGCTTGTGGCCAGGAGCAGAGAAGGCCGTGTGCTGCCACTCAGTCATTGCAGTGGAGGGTGGGCACATGGGGGAGTCGCAGAGCGAGCGATATGTCACCTGGGAGAGGACAGGGGGTCAGGTAGGGGCGGGAAGAGAGATCACGTGGGGTAAGCTAGGAAAGGCCATGTGCTGCCATTCAGTCATGGCCGTGGAGGGTGGGCACATGGAGGAGTCGCAGAGCGAGCGATATGTCACCTGGGAGGATGGGGGGGCGGGTAGGGTGGGAAGAGAGGTCACACGGGGTAAGCTAGGAAAGGCCATGTGCTGCCACTCAGCCACAGCCATTCAGTCATGGCCGTGGAGGGTGGGCACATGGGGGAGTCGCAGAGGGAGCGATAGGTCACCTGGGGGGAAAGGGGGAGAGAGGGGGAGGGGGGGGAAAGGGGAAGGGGGGTCGAAAGGGGAAGGGGGGGGGGAGGGAGGTGGTTGAGAGAGAAGGCTGTGTGCTGCCATTCGGTCATGGCAGTGGAGGGTGGGCACATGGGGGAGTCGCAGAGCGAGCGATAGGTCACCTGGGAGAGTTGGAGGACAGGAGAGGAGGGAAAAGGAAGGGTTCACGTTAAGCTCATTCCAACTTCTCGAAAGCAGAGAGGTTCATGTGTTGCGTTGCCACTCAGTCATGGCAGCTTCGCAGAGCGAGCGACAGGTCACCTGGGAGGGCAGGAGAGGGGGGAGTGGGGAAGAGAGGGGGTGCAGTGCAGGCATGGCGGTTGCATGATGGGTGGATGAGTGGCAAGCAGAGCATGAAATCCTGTGTGCCACTTCATACACAACCAATCGGTCATGGCAGTGGAGGGTGGACCGTGGGCATATGGAAGTCCCTAATCAGTCAGAATGAAAACCAGAGAGGTAACCTGAGAGCGGGAGCGAGCGAAAGATGATGCGTGAAAGATGATGCGTGAAAGATGATGCGTGAAAGATGATGCGTGAAAGATGATGCGTGAAAGATGATGCGTGAAAGATGACGCGTGAACATGATAAAGCCCTCCCTGATCACCTTTCCTCAATCGTCACTTCTCATCTCCTGAAACTGGAAACGACCAGTTCGCTATTCTAGTCAGCTTATGAGACCATCTTTGGTTCTTATGTTTCTCCATTTTTTGTCTTCCTGAGAGCTTGTCCCTTGTCTCACCTCTCTCATCTTGCCTCCGTACTGTTCTGTTTCCTTCCACTCGCCCACCTGCAAGGCAAGAGATGAAGGAAGCAAGTGGGATGAGAGGACGCAAATGAATGAGAGGAAAAAAACATCCAATTCAAGGGAAATAAGAGCCTGAAATGGCTGGCAACACAAGAACAGGAAACACTAGCCACAGTCAAACCAGAACGTTGCTGCCATGAAACATGCCACGTTTGAAGAGCCAAGATGTTGTAGATTGCGTAAAGGAAGCAAAACAATGCTCAATTGGCTGGATACACGTGGACTTCCTATAGATGCTTCAAGAGCAAACGGATCTCAGCAACTAGTTGGTCATTAGGATCCTTTGCTCCTGTAACGTTTCATACAGATAGTAAATTCCTGCCTCACCTTTTGCCTCGTTTGACCCGCGCCTCACCTTCAGCTCAATGTCTTTGCACATGGCCTTAGGCTCGGAACACCACGGCAGAGCCTTACGGCGTGTCGCACACATGACTCACCTTTCGCTCTGTTTGTTCCAAGCCTAACCTACTGCCGTGTTGTTCCCGTGCCTCACCTTCAGCTCCGTGTCCTTGCGCTTGGCTCGGTAAACCACGACGAAATCAGACGAATCGGAGTAGAGGAGATTGAAGTAGGTTTTCGCTGTGCAGGGCACCTCGAACTGGGGCAGGCGGGAGGGGACAAGAGAGGGAGGAAAGGGGGGGAGCACAGAAGCACAGGGAAGGGAGTCAAGCAAATCGGAGTAGAGGAGATTGAAGTAGGCTTCTGCTGTGCAGGGCACCTCGAACTGAGAGGGGAGGGCCGAGCGGGAAAGCACAGAAGCACGGGGAAGGGATTCAAATGAATCGACTTTTGAGGCGCCTCAAATAAATCTGAGAAAGGGAGGTTGAAGCAGGCATGTACAACTGGGCAGAGGAAGAGGAGAAAGGGAGGAAGGGAAACGGTTGAAGAACAGAAGGACAGGGAGGGGGGGAAGAAAGTCGGATGAATCGCAAATGGAGGTGGTTGAATCAACCTGGATGGTACCCCCTCTTGTGTACTTTCTTGTGCAGCTGACAGACATTATCAGACTAAAGTAACCTCACACAGCACAGCACAGCACAGCACAGCACAGCACAGCACAGTGTGCAACTCGTAATGCTCACCACTCACCTGCAAAACCTCTCACACACCTGCAGCAGGTGCTCCAGCACGGTGAGGTCAAGGAAGGGCTGTTTCTCCTTCTCCTCCTCCGCAGCCTCTGATGCCGCTCCTCTGAATGACAACCCTTCTACTGCTCCATCCCTCATGCTTATCGCCCGTAACCGATCCTGCTCCTCCTCCTGCCATAAAATTTGAAAAAGAGTTGTTGGAGGGGGGGTTTGACATAATTGGAGAGATGGGGAATCCCCTCTACTGCCACGGTTTTCATGTGTAAGGCCAGTAACGGTCCTGCTGCTCCTCCTCCTGCCACGGCAGTTTTGGGGATGTCTGATGTGCAAATCATTTTCTTCCCTTCATTACCCCGTCCCTCATGCTGATGGCCCGTAACCGGTCCTGCTCCTCCCCTTGGCTTCACAACTGAAAAAGAGCCGTTTGGGGGGGGTTGATAGAATTGGAAATAAGGAGAATTCCCTTCATTGCTCCATCACTCATGTGTACGGCCCGTAACCGGTCCTGCTCCTCCTCCTTGATGTAATATTTTTAAACAGCAACATACATATTCCAGAATAAAATGTGCATTTAACGAACTTGGAGGGTTGATGGATGGGTGTACACGACCCAAGTGTGGTTGGCCCAAGGTTGGTCCTTGACCTAGGTTGACCTTGGTTGGCACTTGTCAACTCATTTGTCCCAATCTAATCCTGGTTGCTTAGTTCGCAAGCAAATCATTTCATTGGCCAGCTCAGTGGCCAATAGGGAACTCCTCTCCAATCCTTCCTTGATCCTTGCTTGTAGTATAGAGCCTCTTGGCTCCACATTTAGGTGGCTTACTCAATACAAAATGTATTCTCTTTTCACACTCCTACCATGGAAGTTGGGAAAATTCGATTGAGGGATTAGAAAATTATAGAATTTGGGGAGATATGGTGATTTAGGTGAGCCTAGTGACAGAATTCTGCAAAGGCCTCCTGAGCAGATGCAAAGAAGCATGAGGGGCTGATAACGTGTACCAAGAGAGCCAGCAGCGAGTACAAGAAGTTACATCCCAGAAAAAACAGCCGAGACATACCAGTGCCATTAACACCTCCGTCTTCCAGAACTCTGCAATGGCCTCCTGCAGCATCTCATGCCTCGATGCTGCAGGAGAGCTGGTTGCGCGAGTGGCAGGAGAGCCAGTAGCGAGTACAAGAAGATGCATCTCGGAAGAAACACCCAAGACGTACCAGGGCCACTACTACCTTTGTCTTCCTGAACTCTGAAATCTCCTCCTGCAGCAGCTGACTACCTCGATACCAAGAAGCAGGAGAGAAAATGGTGAAAACCACGAGCATACGTACCAGCAGGCAATGAGAACGTACCAGGGCCACTACTACCTCCTCTGCCTTCCTGAACTTGGCAATAGCCTCCTGCAGGCTGCAGCAGCTCATGCCTCGATGAGACAACCAAGCAGGAGAGCCGGTGGCAAGTGGCAGGAGAGCCAATGGTGAGAGTAGAGACCAATAGGGACAAAGAGATACGTACCAGTGCCGCTGCCTCTTCAGTCTTCCAGAACTCGGCAATCGCCTCCTGCAGCAGGCTCTTGAGTCGATGCAGAGAAGCAGGAGAGATGGTAGCAGGTAGAAGGAGAGGCAAGGGCGGGTTACAAGAAGATAGATACGTACCAGCGCGGCTGCCTCTTCCATCTTCCAGAACTCGGCAATCGCCTCCTGCAGCAGGCGCATGGCATGGCCTCTGTTCCAGAACGATGCAAACTTGTATTTCACTCGGCCTGACGGGAGGAGGGTGTGGGGCAGGAGGAGGGGGAGGAGGTATGGAAGGGCATGAGGAGCCAAGGCACAGCAGGCGCATGGCATGGCTTTGATTCCAAAACGATGCAAACTTGTACATCACTCAGCCTGAGAGGAGGAGGGTGTGGGGGGGGGGGGATGAGGAGCCATCACTTAGCAAGGAGATAGCATCCACACCACATGACACGGTCTCGGTTGCACAACAGTGCAAACGCCTACTTCATTCGGCCTAAGAGGAGAATCTGCGTGTTAAATTGAAATAAAGGCGGGCGGGGAGGATATAGGCTTATGTGCATGCCAACTCATGCCAGCTCGTAAACACTCAAGCTCTGGACGTCTTAACTCAACACGCAAGGTCACCATCATACCTGGAAAGAGGGGGACGGGTCGTGTTTTGAGTCGACTCAAAACACGACTCATGCCAACTCATGCCAGCTCGTAAAGACTAAAGGCTCAAGCTCTAGACGTCTCAACTCAACACGCAAGGTCACCATTATACCTGGAATGGAAAGAGGGGGCCGGGCAGGCACCCTGTGTGCAACCATACCCAGATGCAACCATATTGAAATCACTTTAGAGAATTCTCAAAAGTGGTTTCAATAGTGATTTCAATATAGCAGGCACCCCGTGTTCCTCCTTACCCAGATGCAACGACAGTCATGGCTGGTGGATTGATCAGTCACGCGTGCTTGTGATAGGATGGAGTTACAGCTTAGGTGCACTGCATGTGCTGCTGGGTAAATCATAGGGCGTATGTGTTTATTCACAAGAGCTCACCATCAGGAATGGATAGTGGTGGCACCCCGTGTCCCCCCGTGCCCAGATGCAGCACCACTGTCACGGCTGGGTTGATGCGTCACCCGTGCGTGTGACAGGGTTACAAGTACATTCAGAACTAGTGTGCCTGTACATGCGTGCTCACCATCAGGACTGGGAAGAAGGGGCACCCCATGTCCCCCCGTGCCCAGGTGCAACACCACCGACATGGCTGGGTTGATTCGCGCATGCGTGCATGTGATGGGTTACAAACAGAGCTAGTGTGCCTCCACATGCAGATGCTGTATTTTGAGGCGCCTCAAAATACACCTCAATGGGTTACAAACAGAGCTAGTGTGCCTCCTCACACAGATGCTGTATTTTGAGGCGCCTCAAAATACACCTCAATGGGTTACAAACAGAGCTAGTGTGCCTCCTCACGCAGATGCTGGCGAGCTCACCATCTGGACTGGGTAGAGGCGGCACCCCGTGTCCCCCTGTGCCCAGATGCAGCACCACCGTCATGGCTGGGTTGATCAGTGCATGCGTGCTGCGCCGAACCTGGCGTGGTTAGAGCGTGGGCGTGGGCATGGGAATGGGAAGGAAAGGACAGGGAATGGAATGGGATGGAATGCAATGGAAGCAGACAGCTCCTTGAAAAAAGGCGCTGGAATGGAAGCACAAGTGCGAGCTACTCCCTTCCCAAAACACATTGCTCTTTACGCCTACCCACCTCACCTCCCAGACTGATAGTTCAACGTTAATTGTTGTGGGTGTGAATGGCATCACGGGTCTTCTCCCTTTCGGTAATTTGGAAAGAAAACATAATACCGTACCCAATTACAATCACTTCCACGGAGAGCGTATCGGCGAAATGACTACAACGAGTGCTTCCGGTGTGCCGTGCAAAATGATAGCCTGTGTTGGTATCAACACTGATAAAATAAATCTGTTACATATGTGTGGCGAGGAAAATGGGGGGGGGAGGGGGGGACAGCAGGGAAATGCCAACATGTCCCACCACACCCCTCCTCGCCACGCATATGTATCAGGTCCATCTTACCAATGCTGACACCAGCACAGGCTATTACTTTGCACAGCACACTGAAATCACTCGTCTTAGTTGTTTCGTCGACACTCTCTTCATGGAAGTAATTGTCCTAGGTTACGACATCATGTATTTCTTTCAAACCACCGAAAGGAAAGAACACAGAGAGCTCCTTGGAGATGCCATCCACACCACACCCACTTTCCTTTCAAAGAATGCACACGGACAGACAGCTTGTTGGAAAAGACGATGGAATGCACAAAGACGACCCAAGTTGTGGCCGTTCCCATACATTGCTTCTAACGCCTCCATCTGCCCACCTCACCTCCTCAATGTCTTGGTAGGAATGCACACAGACAGCTCCTGAAGACGTGTGACAGTAGCAGCAGAGTTTTGAGACGTCTCAAAAAATCTGTGTGCCTGTCCACCTCACCTCCTCAACCTCACCTCCTCAATGTCTTGGTACGGAATGCACACAGGCAGCTCCTTGGAAAAGACGTTGAAGTGGAAGCAGAGGTGCAAGCTATGCCGTTCTTGTTCCCATCCCCTTAACAACATTGCTTCTCACACCTCTCCACCTGCCCACCACCTCACCTCCTCAACCTCACCTCCTCAATGTCTTGGTACGGAATGCACACAGTCAGCTCCTTGGAGAAAACGTTGGAGTGGAAGCAGAGGTGCAAGCTATGCCGTTCTTGTTCCCATCCCCTTAACAACATTGCTTCTCACACCTCTCCACCTGCCCACCACCTCACCTCCTCAACCTCACCTCCTCAATGTCTTGGTACGGAATGCACACAGTCAGCTCCTTGGAGAAAACGTTGGAGTGGAAGCACAGGTGCGCCCCTGAGAGGAACATGCGGCCGTGGTAGAGGAAGGAGCGCTCCAACGCACACGAGAAGGAGTGCCGGATGACCTGCCAAGCAGGCAGAGAACAGAAGGAATGCACACAGTTAGCTCCTTGGAGAAAACGTTAGAGTGGAAACAGAGATGCGTCCCTGAGAGGAACATGCGGCCGTGGTAGAGGAAGGAGCGCTCCAATGCACATGAGAAAGAGTGTCGGATGACCTGCAAGTGCAGAAAAACAGAAGGAATGCACACAGTTAGCACAGGTGCGCCCCTGAGAGGAACATGCGGCCGTGGTAGAGGAACGACCGCTCCAGCGCACACGAGAAGGAGTGCCGAATGACCTGGCTCGGCCCCGGCTCGGCCCTAACTCGGCCCTGGCTCGGCCCTGGCTCGGCCCTGGCTCGGCCCTGGCACATGTCTCTGACAATAGATGTTCAACCAGACTCCAAGTTCATCCAGAGGCAGGCCGAGGATCGCCTGCAGCAACATTTTTTAGGCGCCTCAAAAATCGCCTGCAGCAACATTTTTGAGGCGCCTCAAAAATCGCCAGCAGCAACATTTTTGAGGCGCCTCAAAAATCGCCTGCAGCAACATTTTTGAGGCGCCTCAAAAATCGCCAGCAGCAACATTCCCGGTTTTAACCACACTTCTCAGCTCAGACGCCTTATGAGACGACTTAGTCTTTAGAGGTTGAGGCGAGGCACCTCAACAAACGCACCTCGTCTGGGGGGGCAGGACGAAGATCGTCTGGGGGCAGGACGAAGATCGTCTGGGGGCAGGGCGAAGATCGTCTGGGGGCAGGACGAAGATCGTCTGCAGCGGCCCTGGCTTCAGCCGCACTTCCATTCCCCTCCCCTGTTCCTGCTCAGATCTCTCCCATTCGACTATGATCTCTATCTTTTACCCTTCCCTCCTTGTCTGTCTCACACGCACCTCATCAGGAGGCAGGCCGAAGATCGTCTGCAGCGGCCCTGGCTTCAGCCGCACTTCCATTCCCCTCCCCTGTTCCTGCTCAGATCTCTCCCGTTCGACTATGATCTCTATCTTTTACCCTTCCCTCCTTGTCTGTCTCACACGCACCTCATCAGGAGGCAGGCCGAAGATCGTCTGCAGTGGTCCCGGCTTAAGATGCACTTCTCCTGCTCCTGCCGCTCCTCAAGCCTCTCTTAAACGATGTCTCAACTCTCTCCTTCACCCATGCTTTGTCTGTCTCACACGCACCTCATCAGGAGGCAGGCCAAAGATCGTCTGCAGCGGCCCTGGCTTCAGCCGCACTTCCGTTCCCCTCCCAGCCTCCTGCTCTTGCTGCTGCTTGGGCATCTCTCAAACAATGTCTCAACTCCCTCTTTCAACTCGCCCTGAGGGTCTCGCACGCACTCACCTCATCTGGAGGCAGACCAAAGATCGTCTGCAGCAGCCCTGGATTCAACCGCACTTCTGTTCCCCTCCCCTTGCTCGAAGCACTTCCAGATGAGAAATTCCTCTCACTTTCATCCCTCCTTGTCCCACACGCACCTCATCCGGAGGCAGTCCAAAGATCGTCTGCAACGGCCCTGGCTTCAACCGCACTTCTGTCCCCCTCCCTGCCTCCTGCTCTTGCTGCTGCTGGTCTGGCCGCTCCCCTTCGAAAGCCTCCCCCTCTTGCTTGTCGCCCGCACCGGTGCCTGTGGGCTGCTGGGAGAGGCGGCGCAGGCGGGACGAACTTATGGCGGCGCCCTTTGCTGCACTGTTGCACAGGAGGAAGGGAAAGGGGTAAAGGTGGGAAACATGAGCGTTCTCTACCTCTTTCCTCTCCCCTGCCAGTTGATTCTCTCCTGCCTCTTGCTTGTCGCCCCCACCGGCGCCGGTGGGCTGCTGGGAGAGGCGGCACAGGCGAGACGAACTTATGGCAGCGCCCTTTGCTGCCGTGCTGCAGGGGAAGACGGGAAGACGGGAAGAGGGTGAAAAGCGCTGGAATGAATGTCCTCCCCCTCTTGCTTCTCGGCCTCGCCAGCACCAATGGGCTGCTGGGAGAGGCGGCGCAGGCGGGATGACTCCATGACGGCTCCCTTTGTTATGCCACTGCACTTATTTGGATTAGTGGGAAGGGCGGGGAAGGGGAGAAGGGTGGTGAGGAGGAGAGGGATATATTGGGGGTAATGGTGATGGTAATGGTATTGGGGAGGAGAGGGATATATTGGGGGTAATGGTGATGGTAATGGTATTGGGGAGGAGAGGGATGTATTGAGAGTTTCAATGTGAGACAACCCAATGCTGTTCGATTTGCAGAGGGCTGCAACAGGACTGGTTTGGTAGGAAGGGTGGCGGGTGAATAGAGGGGGATACGGGGGGTGCTGTGGTGTGGTGCGGCTGTCCCTTTGTGATGCATTCTTTGGCTACATTGCTGCGATGTGTCTTGTAAGAGTGAGGCATAGCGAGGAGGACGCAGCACACACACGCAAATACATCAGAATGTGAATACCAGCTGAGAACGTGGATGGCGAGGGTGTTTTTGAGTCGACTCAAAAACAAGAAAGAGTGTGGCATAGCGAGGAGGACGCAGCACACGCAAATACATCAGAATGTGAATATCAGCTGAGTACGTGCATGGCGAGGGGGGAATGGGTTGCGGCTAGGAGAAATCACAATTCTGAGAACATCACGGAGGAGCAAAGCACACAGACAGAATCAAGAGAAATGCGCAGCAGAGAGACTGATGAGGTCAGCACACGCAGGCTGGGGGGAATAACACACCTGTCGGCTTTATTCCTTGGCACTGCTGTCACCTGCAGCTGCAAGCACACCTGCAAGAAGGAAAGAAGGGAAATTCGGGGGGACACCAGAAAGACACCTGAAGAATGCCAGGAAAACGCCTGGAAAAAAACTTTCTCCTTAACTGCTGCTCGCTGGAATACGTCTCTCGATCTAACGCCTGGAAAAAACGCCTGGAACAACACCTCAAGAGATGCCTGAAAACTAGAATTTCCGCCTCACCTGCCCCAGGCCTCACCTGCCCCAGGCCTCGCCTGCCCCAGGCCCGTGTCGAGAGGGTACCAGACAGTGAAAGGCAGAGCTTCTCTTCCTTCCACCAACCAGAAGCCTTGCATACTGAAAAATCTCAAACACGCCCACAGAACAAAGAAGAAATATCAACCCTCACCTGCCCCGGGTCTCACCTGCCCCAGGCCTCACCTGCCCCAGGCCCTTGTCGAACGGGTACCTACCAAGCAGTGAAAGGCAGAGCCTCTCCTTCCACCAGCAAGACAGCTGTGTGAATTGAGAATTCATTAATAGAACCCACAGCAAGAAGAAGAATCCCTCACCTGCCCCAGGCGGCCAGGCCCTTGTCGAGGGGGTACCTACCAAGCAGTGAAAGGCAGAGCCTCTCCTTCCTCCAGAAGGGAAGCCGTGTGCATTGAGAATTATCGAACAAGCACACACCAAGAAGAGGAAACTTCCCTCACCCACCTGCCCCAGGCCTCCCCTGCCCCAGTCCTCACCTGCCCCAGGTCTCACCTGCCCCAGGCCCTTGTCGAGAGCGTACCAAGCAGTGAAGGGCAGAGCCTCTCCTTCCACCACCAAGAAGTCTTGCATACTGAAAAATCTCAAACACGCCCACATAACAAAGAAGAAGAAACCCTCACCTGTCCCAGGCCTCACCTGCCCCAGGTCTCACCTGCCCCAGGTCTCACCTGTCCCAGGCCTCACCTGCCCCAGGCCTCACCTGCCCCAGGCCCTTGTCGAGGGGGTACCAAGCGGTGAAGGGCAGAGCCTCTCCTTCCACGAGCAGGGAAGCTGCACCAAGCTCTGCGTTCTTGGATATGATGTCCCAATCGTACGTGCGCACTGATACCTGCATGGGGCCGCATCGCATGCCGCATAGTCACAAGCACACACACAACCAAGCGGCCACGGTTGTTTTTCAGGTCGACTAGAAATGCATCTCCTTCCACGAATAAGATGGTGTAACCCCATCTATGTTGATGGTACTGAGAATTCTCAAAAGTACCATTCACGAATAAGATGGTGTAACCCCCCATCTGCGTTCTTGAATATGATGGCCCAATCCAATTGTACGTGCGCACTGGAACCTGCATGGGTGATATCATATCATATCATATCATATCATATCATATCATATCATCACACATAGTCAGCGGGGAGTGTGCATTTTGCAGAGGAGTCTGAAGTGTGCCGCACAGAGGAGCCTCTTGCAGCAACTCACCAGATGAATGGAGCGAAGAAGCAAAGACAGTGCAGAGGAGAGGACTCACCAGTGCGGGCAGGCAGGGGGTGAGGAAGCGAAGGTGGTGCAAGCAAAGGATTTCCTTGAGAGGACTCACCGGGGCGGGCAGGCAGGGGGCGAAGAAACGCTTTTGAGAATTCTCAAAAGCGATTTCAACATAGAAGCAAAGACAGTGCAGTAGACTCACCAGGGCGGGCAGGCAGGGGGCGAAGAAGCGAAACTCCTCTGCCCACATGGGGTTGCGGGAACTGGGGATGACGGAACTGGTGGAAGGGATGAAGGGTAGTTAGAAGGTACGGGGGAACCGTTTAGACGTTGGGGGAGAAGAGTGGTTGCGGGGGATGGGAGGGACAGTGGTTGAAGCGTGGGAGGAGAGGAGCATATGCCAGTGCACGCAGCACAGAAGGGGGGATCTTTCTCCGTTCTGTGGGATAGGATGGAGGAGAGGAGATGGAATTGCAGAAGCTGGGAATGTATGATAGGCTGGAGTGTGGCAGCGAGGGCATCACACTGCAGAGAGGTAAGGGGAGTCGGGGAGGGAGGTGGAGAGGGAGGGGAGGGGAAGGGGAAGAAGGGGTAGACGGACAAGTATGCGAGAAACAGGGATGGCGAAACTAAGGACAAGAAGCTCAGAAAAAGGAAGTAAGCACGCATGATACATACATGCACATACATACGCATGCAGCACACCTGAATCTTCGTTCTGTGCCACAAGAAATGATGGCGTAGGGATCCGCTGTGCCGCTGATGTTTGCAGCTGGCAGGTTCTTAGCTGCTAGCAGATCGACCTTGGGGAGCAAAAGGGGAGAAAAGAGGAGGTCACGGGAAAGGGGGGTTGGGGAATGCATAAAACTGGATCTGCAATTTAGCAGCCGGCAGGTTCTTAGCTGCTAGTAGATCGACCTTCGGGAGGGAAGGGGGGGGAGGGGGAGAGCGAGGGTGAGGAGGAAGGGGAAGGGGAGCGGGAGGGGAAGAGGGGGTTTAATGAATTCGGGATCCGCAGTGCCGCTGATGTTTGCAGCTGGCAGGTTCTTAGCTGCTAGCAGAACGACCTTCGGGAGGGGAGAGTGAGGGGGGGGAGGAAGGAAGGGGGTGCGGGAGGGGGGAAGGGAAGGGAGTGGGGGATGGGAGATGAAGGGATGCGGGATCGCACAGTGCCGCTGGCGTTTGCAGCTAGCTCTTGCTGCTAGCAGATCGACCTTGGGGAGGGGAAGAAGGGGGGAGGAGAGGAGGAGGGGGGGGGGGCGGGGGCGGGGGCGGGGGCGGGAGAGGGGGAGGGGGACAGGGAGGGGGAGGGGAGGGAAGGAGACGGGAAAAAGGGATTGGGGATTGGGGGTTCAGCAGTGCCGCTGATGTTTGCAGCTGGCAGGTTCTTGATTACTAGCAGATCAACCTTGGGGAGGGGGAGAAGGGGGAAAAGGGGGAGCGGACGCGGGAGTGCCGAGGAATGAAAGGCACGGGACTTGCTGTACTGCTGACGTTTGCAGCTGGCAGGTTCTTGATTACTAACAGATCAACCTTTGGGAGAGAGGGGCGGAGGGGTTAAAGGGGGGATCACTTGCACTCTGAAGCATCCTTCTCACTTAAAATACAACTCACTTTCACTTCATAGATCATGGGTTGAGGCGCCACAGGAGACACAGCCCTTTCTGCTGCTTCCACCGTCGTACCTACTCCCCCAATCCCCCCTCCCCCTGCTTCTCCCCCTGTTTCCCCCCCTGCGGCTCCCCCTGTTCTTGCAGCAGGAAACGCAGCGCCACGAGCCGTTGATCGGGTTGAGATCGCTGCCGTGTCCGATGCTGACCGTTGGATTCCCTCTAGCAGCCTCCTCTTCTCCGCTCCAGTGTCAGGAGTTACACCACTGGTCGAATCTGGGCCGTTGATTCTGTCAGCAGCAGCAGCAGCAGCAGCACCTTTATTCAGTGGGGAAAGGTATTCCATGGACCCTCCTGTGCGCACATGGCCCCCCAGGGCGCCCCGTTCCGCCTCCCCATCCGCGCCTGCAGTGGCGGAAGCAGGGGCAGCGGAGACTGCTGCACTGAGGGGGACTGGCGCAGGGGGGAGGGTGTCCGCGCAAGACAGGGAATGGTTGGGTATTATGGCCTGAGGAACCGCCGGGGGGAGGGGGGAGTGGAAAGGAAAGGGGAGGGGGGTGGGTTGGAGGGGGTTGGGTGATGTTGGGGGATTAGGGAAGGGAAAGGGGTAGAGGGTGAGGGGGCGAAGGGTTTTGGATTGGGTTGGTTGGAGTGAAAAGAGTATTGAGGATGTATCATGCAACTCAGCTGACAGATAGACCTGCACCAAGGCTTGTGCCAAAACGCATCGGAAAAAAAAAACAAACAAAGAATGAAAAAAAACAAAAAAAAAGCTTTAAAACAAAAAACGAACAAACAAACAACAACAAAAAACAAAACTAAAAACAAAATGGTGAGTTCGATTCGGAAGACAAGGAGGAGAGGCGGGAACGGTAGGCCAGAGGGGAGTGAAGAGAGGACAGCTTGGCAGGCGAAAAATGATTATTAAACGGGTACTCGTTATTGGCAGACTCACCACGAGCGTTTCCTCTTGGATGTTCCCACCCGCTGCAGCAGCAACAGCACCAGCCGCAGCTCTAGTCGAAGCAGCTAAAGGCCCACTCGCACCTCTCCCATCCCCTCCTCCTCTCCTCCCTCCTCCTCCCTCCACCCATCCCTTCCCTCCTCCCACCAAGCCCCCATCCACCCCTCCTTTCCCTCCAACACCAGTTCCCCCCACCCCCGTCGCCACCGCTAACTGCATTATATCCTGCCTGGGCCGCGTTCTAGACCCGATCCCCTTCTTAACTACCTCCTTAGAACTTAGTCCTAGCAGCGGCTGCGCCGTCACCGGAACCGCGGCCATTCTCTTCGAATCCACGGCTGCCAGCTGGCGCACGGGGATTTCGAGAGCGGCGGTTAGCGGATCTGGTGCCGCGAGTAACGCACGAGCTTGCTGCTCCCTCACACGTCGGCTTGCCTCCTCCCAGTTTCCCTCCTTTTCTTCTCCCGCGCCATTCACGCCGGTTTCACCGGCAGATGCGGCCAAAGCGTTGTCTGGGGAGGGATTCTCCCCGCTGCCTTCGGGCTGGGTGAGATATAGGAGAAAAGCTACAAACGAGGCGGCTATTAACGCGGTTAATGCTTCGAACCAGGACGGGAAGAGGTGCGGCCAGATCGCTTCTATAAATTCCTCCATGAGCGGCGATGAAGCGATGAAGTTGAAATCGACGCCGCGTTCGCATGCTATTAACCGGTCCTTATGAAAATCGAGGAAACGAAAAAATATTATACGCCGTCACGTGCTCCTAGGACTAAGGTAACCAAATACCGCGGTTTAGAAAACATCCACAAGAACCATTGCAAAACCACTTTTCCGAAATAACGACGAGCTCGTAGGTAACTTGCTGGAGATAGGTCATATATGGATTGGAACCAGAAAGGCCGGCTAAATCACTCCCTTAGATTCTCTTCCCTGTTTACTCCTGTGGGGTGCTTTGTGTCTGCCTGCACAAGCTGCTCTGTTTTGGTAAGGTAAGGTAAGGTACGGTTTTGAGGTATGAAAAGGAATAGAGAAATGTGAAGAGGGTTTGAGCATCCTGTTCTACAATTTTTCCTGAGGTTAGCGGCAGGACATGGCGAAACCAGGAGCGAGCTGGATGACGTGGAACTCTCGATGGTTCCTCCAGACTGGAATGTTTTCTCAAACGATATCTGTTACTTGTGGTATTGTCAGGTAATGTATTATAGTTCGTCAACGAGCGCTAACTTACTTAAGCCCGTTGACCCAAATAGTCTAGGTTCTTATTCCCAATATTAAAAACCAGTGGAGCACGAGGTACGCATAGCAAATTTCCGCAAGTTTAGTAGGCGGTCTAAAATGCCCGGATCGTCTGGGTCAACGAAAATGAAATACAACTCGCGCCGTGCCAGCCGCAAATCAGGTTGAAACAATGGAAGATACGTGGGAACCAGGCCTGTCGATTGACGGGCATATGCCCTTAATGCCCTGAACATTAAGGGCTAGTTTCGCTCCAGCTCCAATGCGTCAAGTTTTTGTTTCGCACCCCACCCGTGCCACTAAGTGCTTCATTCGACCCTTGCCCGGATGCGTTAAGGGACGAAACCAGGCCTTCCCCTTTATCTAAGTTTTGGTTTCAGATCGTAGGACCCCCCCCCCCCCCTCCCCCCCCTCTTTCTCCTTAGCCTGCACTAGAGCGCGCCAAGGGGATTTTTCCCTTAGCGTTTTGTAGCCAATCCCGTGTGTGTAGCGTGTCTCTCAGTCAGCCTAGGAGCACCCGCACATTCCCTTAGCGTCCAATACGAGCTGGCCGCAGTGTACAGCTGTGACACATGGGATTATCTTGGGTAAATCTGGCTAAGTTGTTTGGCCACAGAGACATCTAAGACACTAAACCACAGCACGTCAAAGGAACTGAAGCACTCCAGCGCAGCAGCTCCCTCCCTCACCACCTTCGTTCGTGCGAGCCACGATTCCTCTCCACCACCATGCAATCCATCCACCACCACATCCCACCCATGTTTTCTCTTCCGCACCGTCCCACCACCTCCACGGTATCATCCACCCAAGCCCTCAGCTCTCCCCTCCCCTCTCGTACGTGCCATGCTATGGCACTTCTCCTCCACCCAACCACTCTGCCGAGTAAACCTCGCGTCGCCTAGCTCACGCACGCGATGTTTATAGTATGGGTAGCTAACCCGTTCGCTTCGTCAGCCACATTCTCCCACAATGGATCCTAGCGAGGGTGAAACCCCTCCTCCAGTTTTGCCCATGTCGAACGTTAGTCATTCTCATACTACGACCGAGACCGAGCCTTACGTACCCTCGGATGCTGAAGACATGCTAGACGTAGCAATCTCAGTGTTGGACCCGCGCCTCGCCCAGCAAGCATCATCGTCACAGACTACACCTCTGTCAGCAGCCCGCTACCGTCAGGTTCACCTTAGCTTCGCAAGTCCGCCACCAGATTCGCGAAAGCGCGCACGAAGCGTACCGCCTCCACCCACTGCTGAGGAGCTGGAGGCGCAGGACAAGGCTATCGCCGAGGATGCAGAAGTGCCCCCGGACACCGAGATCCCTGCTGCTGAGAAGGGTATGGCACGTCGCTTCAGCCCGTCGTGGAAGCAGACGTACTCGTGGCTGACACTGAAGTACAACAAAGACTGTATGGTATGAAGTGGTCCGTGTGCTGTAAGTTCGCTCCTAACACCAAGTCTCCCTTTGGCGGTGCTGGCGTCGGTGCAAGGGACTTTCAGAAGTCGGCGTGCCGCAACCATGACCAGTCCAAGGTGCACCTCGCGGCCATGGAAGCAGAACGACTCGCTGCTGGCACGGAGGTGAGGCAGCGCAGCCTCGTGAACATGCTCAGCGGCGATCCAGTCATGGCGAGGGTCGTCAAATGCATGCAAGCAGCTCAGTGGATTGCGCAGAACGATGCACCGATCGCTCTCTACCCCATGCTGGTGCGGTTCATGGCGGAGCAAGGATGCCCCGACATGATGAACAGCGAATCCTACGGGCGTTATTACTCGCGGTAAGTGTTTGTTACCCTCTGGTTCTGCACCTAATGTCCTGCTGTTTCTTCTCTTCGTTGCCTCTGTATTTTCGTACTTGTGCTTGTGTTATACTGTGAGTAACGTACATTTGGTGCTCATTGCAGATACGCCTTCGGCGAGTTCGTAGAGGCTATGGCGGAGCATCTGGTGGCCAGGCAGCTCGTGGACGTCAAAGAGTCGGCCTGGTACAGCCTCTCCTTCGATGAATCCACGGATCGCGCCCGCGGAAAGCACCTCATCGTGTATGTCACGTTTGAGAGAGGCGAGGCCGTGGTGTCCCAGTTTCTTGCTCTCCTGTCGCTCGAGCGTTGCGACGCCGCTGCACTGTACGACACGATCGTGAAGTGCCTGTGGTCGAAGGACATGTCGATGGACAAGCTTGTCGGGGTTTCAACGGATGGTGCATCCGTCATGACTGGCTCGAAGAACGGAGTTGTCGCCCTGCTTCGGAAACGTTGCCCGTGGCTGGTGGCGATTCACTGCGTGGCGCATCGGTAAGGTTGCACTGCAATGTCCTGTTATCTTATTACCGTCGCCATACGTACTCACGAACCTGTCGTGCTTGTGCAGCGAGGCATTGGCTGCAAAGGATGCCGCGAAGAGCTTCAAGGAGTTCAACGTCGTCGATCAGATGATACGCCAGACTGCCGAGCGTCTCGGGCGTTCATCGACCGATCACAAGACCTACATGCATCTCCAGGACGTCATTCTGAAGACGCACCTGGAGGTGCAAGGCTTCTGCACCGTCCGTTGGCTGTCTCGCGGAGATGCTGTGAATCGCTTCTGCGACGTGCTGCCGGTGCTGATGTGGATGTGGACGAAGGAGAAGGACGGGATGGAGAAACTCGCTACCAGCTTCAAGTTCCACTACATGCTTTACCTCCTGGCTGACGTGCTGCAGCTGCTCAACGGACTCAATCTTGCCTTCCAGAAGCAGGCGGTAAGATTGACATGAACATGTACTAGGCGCTTCTTCTCTTAAGTGCTTGGTTCTAATGTTTTCCCGCTCCGTTTGATTTCAGGTCGACATCACAGAGGTGAAGAATCACGTCGACAAGGTGAAGACCAAGCTGTCGCAGTACTACGTCGAGCCCAGCGCATCCTACGGGCCGAACACCTCTCGCCTGAACAAGTTCCTTGCTGCACACGGCAGCAAGGACAAGCGCAAGATGGAGCTCAAGGGAGTGGGTGGCGACGGCAAACCTGCAAAAGCCGAGATCGAGCTCCACGAGGACATCATCGACCCTGAAAACCCGGGGGGGGGATGCGACTTGGAGGCCTGCGTGGACCTGGCGCGGCGTTTCGCTCAGCGACTGATTAAGGCGCTGGGGAAGAGGATGGCGGACCTGCGCCATTTCGATGGTGTTGGGATTTTCACCCCTGATAAGTATCCCTTCCGTGCAGGAGAGCAGGACACATGGCTGCAGCACCATCTCACCGAGCTCCTGGACATGTTCAAGAACCAGCTACCTGGTAAGCCTAGATTAGTATGAAAGGAACCCACGTATGTTCTAACTTTGTACGTATTATGCTCACACAATGACGTAATCTAACTTTGTATATGTCCTTGGCAGGAGTCGCTCTTGCTGACATAGAGCCGCAGATGCGCCTCTTCACAGCCACCATGGAGAAGAAGTTCAAGAAGCAAAGCTTCCATCAGGCTCTCACCAACATGCTGCGCACTGCAGACTGGAAGGATGACTATCCCACCATAGTCTCTCTCTGGCGTGCGGTCTCTGTGTTGCCCCTCAGCACTGTTGAGTGTGAGAGGGGCTTCTCCCGCCAAAACATTATTAAGTCGTGGGATCGTGTTGCTCTTACTGATGTTAGGCTGGGGGAGCTGATGACGGTGAAGATGCTAGACTACCCGGTGGACTGGGCAGCGGCCTATGCCTTGTTTGAGGATAAGGGGAGGAAGGGGAGGAAGCCTGCCAACTAGGCTCGCATTGGATGTCGGGTTAGAGTAGAGTAGCTGAGCTCTGCATGCCATATCTGTAGTTAGTGTAGAGAATAAGAACTTTGCAGGCTAGGTAGGTTTTATGACTATTTAAGACATGTGTAGTGTTAGGTGTCTTTGACTTCTAATTTAAGTACATAACAGCACTTATCATAGTAAAATGAAGTGTAAGTGCAAACTTCAAACATGCCCTGATTTCAAGTTCTGACTTTGGGGTGCGCCCGTGACCCTTAAGGGCGCCAAAACGCTCACCTACCCCCAACCAAGGGTCAGATTGGGAGGAGCTGGGGAGCGCAAGTACGAGCCCCAGGAACTTCGACAGGCCTGGTGGGAACATCAGCCACGCCAGTCTGACATCATCGAAGCGGAGTGATAGGCTTGCATGAGCGCTACTCATTTTACTGACAGCTGTAGCGAAGTACAGATTACCAAATGATTAAAAAGAAAACATGTACCGGCAGATGATTACAAGAACTTCATTAGATTTGAATAGAATGTTTTTCTCATCATAGGAGACGGGGCTTATGCATGGCATGCAGTCAGAATGCATGATAACTCTGCGGTGGAAAATATCGCTTGTTTTCTCGTGCTCATGTCTTAATCAAGAGAAAGGAGCTGTGTCAATGGCATTCCCCAAATCGGCAATAAGGTCATCCACGTCCTCAATGCCCACCTGTCACAAAACAGGTTGCAAACAATCAAATAGTGTCATTTTAGTTGCAATCAACCATAGAATGGCAACGAAGACAGCAAACTTAAAGATGGGGGGAGTGTGAAGGCGAGAGAGGGGAGTGATTAGACAGGGCATGCTTACAGAGAGGCGAATGAGGTCTTCAACCAGGCCTCGCTCCTTGCGCACATCCGCTGGTATGCTGGCATGTGACATGAAGCACGGCAGGCTGATGGACGTCGCCACACTGCCTGCGATTTGCCTCGTTACAGTCACACACCGCCGCACAGTGCATTCGCACATACAATATAGTTGCGGAAAATTAGTCTCAGTGGGGACATGCATCAAGCAGCCGTCGTCATGGGAAATGCGGTCACTGCTATGCAGTCATGCATACAATGCAGCTAAGCACTCAATACACTCATGCATCCAATTCAGTCAAACCGCAGCTGAGGAGCACCTTATTAGGAACGCCAGCTGAGGAGCACCTTTTGAGAATATTAAGGATACGAGGCAGCAAGACATGTGACGGTCGAAACCCACCCAAAACGCTGCTCTCACCCCACCCAACACTACTCGCATCTCAACCTACCAAAGCTGACAGCAATGCTGGCGAGCTTCATTTTCTCAACAATGTGCGTTGATTTTCATTCAGGCACCTCAGCCACTGAATCAACCCAACACCTGCACTCATCCCAGCTTACCAAAGCTGACGGCAATGTTAGCAAGCTTCATCGTCTCAACAATGTGCTTCGTTTCACGTGCCTCAGTCATTGATCAAACTCAACACAGCTCTCATTTTCCCCAACACTGCTCGCATCTCATCTTACTAAAGCTAAAAATGTTGTGAGCATCATCGTCTCAACAATGTACTTCCAAGATTTGATATATTTTTTGCGGCGCCTCAAAACCAGGGTTTTACCCAACACTGCCCTCATCCCACCCAGCACTGCTTGCATCAAAGCTTACCGAAGCTGACAGCAATATTAGCGAGCTTCATCGTCTCAACAATGTGCTTTGACGCGTTGATGTTGCCTGTCGTGAAACTGAGCACTGACCCCGCACCCTTGGCCTGATGGAGGTGGGAAAATGTAAGTTAGTATTAGGAAACATTTAAACGGGCTAACCACAACCCCTCTCCTCCCCCCCCCCCCAAGAAAAAAAGAAGCAAAAAAAATACAAAAACAAAAACACACACACTGACAAAAAGAACAAACAAACAAACAAAAATCACACGCACACACACACACACACACACACACACACACACACACACACACACACACACACACACACACACACACACACACACACACAAAGGCCATCCATGTGGGAAGGCTGGCAGTGGTGAAGCGAGAATGCAAGAACGGAACCCCAACAGGAGAGACCAATAGAAAAGAGCACGCTCGTTCCTCACGCACGGATGGTTTGCGAGAAACACTTGAACGCATAGTGAGGGGGAACAGAAGTGAGGGGAAAAAGAGTGGGGAAATATAAGTGAGGGGAAATGTAGTGAGGGGGAAGAGAGTAAGGGGGAATGGGAGTGAAGGGAAACAAAGTTAGGGGGACAGGGACGAAGGGGAATGGAAGTGAGGGGGAATACAAGTGAGAGGAAATGAGGTGAGGGGGAAGAGAGTGAGGGGGAATGGAGTGAGAGGGAATGAATGTGAGGGGAAAATGAGTGAGGGGAAATATAAGTGAGGGAAATGTAGTGAGGGGGAAGAGAGTAAGGGGGAATGGAAGTGAAGGGAAACAAAGTTAGGGGGACAGGGATGAAGGGGAATGGAAGTGAGGGGGAATACAAGTGAGAGGAAATGAGGTGAGGGGGAAGAGAGTGAGGGGGAATGGAGTGAGAGGGAATGAATGTGAGGGGAAAACGAGTGAGGGGAAATATAAGTGAGGGAAATGTAGTGAGGGGGAAGAGAGTAAGGGGGAATGGAAGTGAAGGGAAACAAAGTTAGGGGGACAGGGATGAAGGGGAATGGAAGTGAGGGGGAATACAAGTGAGAGGAAATGAGGTGAGGGGGAAGAGAGTGAGGGGGAATGGAGTGAGAGGGAATGAATGTGAGGGGAAAATGAGTGAGGGGAAATATAAGTGAGGGGGAATGGAACCGAGGGGAAATAGAGTGAAGGGCAATATTAGTGAGGGGGAATAGAGTGAGGGGGAACAGAAGTGAGGGGAAAAAGAGTGAGGGGGAACGTAGTGAGGGGAAAAAGAGACCATTGTGCGTTTCCCCTCACCCGTGAGCACGCTCTTTCCGCAGTGCATTGTGTGAAGGCAGTGCATTGTGTGAAGGCAGTGCATTGTGTGAAGGCAGTGCATTGTGTGAAGGCAGTGCATTGTGTGAAGGCAGTGCATTGTGTGAAGGCAGTGCATTGTGTGAATGCAGACTTAGGCTGGGAAAGCACCTGGCCAATGACCTCGGTTTGAAAAGCACCTGAGAGAAATGCAGGTCGCGGTTGGTATGGGAGGGCAGACCGGCGTAGAACACTCTCTCCACTCGTGCATGGCTGTCCAGGAATTCAGCTATTCTCTGTGCGTTGGCCTGCACACAACAACACAGTGCAACGCCATCGCGCTTGTGTCAACACAGTATCTATACTGAAAGAGAGGATGAATACACAGAACACCCTCTAAAAAAAACCCGGCTACTCTCTGTGCATTGACCTGAGCAAAAAAAGAACAAACCAGCGAAAGGTTGAGCTTGTAAAGGGGACAGTTGTAGAACACCCATTACACATGCACACATACATTCCCACGTACCTGCTGCCTCTCCAGGCGCAGTGGCAGGGTCTTGATCCCCCGAAGGCACACCCAGCAGTCAAATGGGCTCAGCTCCCCCCCCCTTTCCTCCACGCACACGCATACCCACATTTCCCCCTCCACCCACCCCCCACCTCCACACACACACGCACACACATATCCATGTCTATGTTCCCACCTGCTGCCTCTCCAGTCGCAGTGGCAGGGTCTTGATCCCCCGAAGGCACACCCAGCAGTCAAAGGGGCTCAGCCCTGATCCCTCTGCGTTCTGCACAAAGTAGATCTCTTTAGCCAAGCTGTGCGCGGGAAAGAAAGGGAAGCGAAAAGGAAGGAAGGGAAAGGAGGAAGGGAAGGGGGAGGTGGTTGAAGAGAGGCATTGGAGAGATCTCCAAATGGGCTCAGCCCTGACCCCTCTGCGTTCTGCACAAATTATATTTCTTTCGCCAGGCTGGAGGGGAGGCGGTGGGGGAAGGAAAGGGGGAAAGACACGGGGAAGGGGGAGTTGGCAATAGGGATAGGAGAGGTACCCAAAGGGGCTCAGCCCTGACCCCTCTGCGTTCTGCACAAAGTAGATCTCTTTCGCCAGGCTGGGGAGGGGGTGAGGGGGAAAGAGGGGAAAGGAGGACGGAACGGGGGAAAGACACGGGGAAAGGGGAGTTGGCAAGAGGGATAGGAGAGATCTCCCATGGGACTCAGCCCTGACCCCCCCTCTGCGTTCTGCACAGAGTATATTTCTTTCGCCAGGCTGTGGGAGAAGGGTTGGAGGGAAACCAGGGACGGAAGGGAGAGCAGGATGACTTTTGAGTCGACTCAAAAGTTATTTATTTCGCCAGGCTGTGGGAGAAGGGGTGGAGGGAAACCAGGGACGGAAGGGAGAGCAGGATGACTTTTGAGTCGACTCAAAAGTTATTTCTTTCGCCAGGCTGTGGGAGAAGGGGTGGAGGGAAACCAGGGACGGAAGGGAGAGCAGGATGACTTTTGGGTCGACTCAAAAGTTATTTCTTTCGCCAGGCTGTGGGAGAAGGGGTGGAGGGAAAGCAGGGACGGAAGGGAGAGCGGGATGACTTTTGAGTCGACTCAAAAGTTATTTCTTTCGCCAGGCTGTGGGAGAAGGGGTGGAGGGAAAGCAGGGACGGAAGGGAGAGCGGGAGTTGATTAGTCGTATTCTAATAGGGGTAGACCGTAGAAGAGTTCTTTGAGAACCTCAGACCTGATCCGTTTGCGTTTGCACAAATGTTTTCTGTCTTTGAGCCATCACAACACCGTCATAGTGTGTGTGTGTGTGTGTGTGTGTGTGTGTGTGTGTGTGTGTGTGTGTGTGTGTGTGTGTTTTAATGTGTTCAATGTTGCTGTGTGTGTGTCCGCAACTCACTCTGGGTCGTTGACAGCCAGTATGCCAGCCATCACATCGCTATGCCCGCTCATGAACTTGGTACCGCTGTGCATCACAATGTCTGCTCCCAGCTGCAGCCAGAGCGACTGGTGTGCGTGTGGGCGTGGGTGAGTGCGCGTGCGTGTGGGTGTGCATGTGGGCGTGCATGTGTCTCCAGCACTCACTCGGGGTCATTGACAGCCAGCACACCAGCCATCACGTCGCTATGCCCGCTGATGAACTTGGTACCGCTGTGCATCACAATGTCTGCTCCCAGCTGCAGCGGCTTTGAGAGCACCGGAGACATGATGCTGTTGTCTACCAGTAGCAGTGCTCCTACAGAATGGGCTATGTCTGCAATGGCCTGAAGGGAAGGGAGAGAGTGAGGAGAGAGAGGGAGGAGAGATGCTGGCACTGTTTTCAGCTGCACCGGCTGCGACAGCGCAGGCGACATGATGCTGTTGTCTACCAGTAGCAGCGCACCCACTGAGTGGGCTATGTCCGCTATGGCCTGTGAGGAAGGGAAAGAAGGGAAGAGAGAGGGAGGGGGGCACTGTTTTCAGCTACAGTGGCTGTGACAGCCCTAGCGATATTAACAGCAGATGCTTGTAAAACGTCAAGAAGAGGAACGAGGAAGAGAGGCGGGAGTGCAGTGCAATGCAGTGCGATTCAACTTGCGTTAATATTGCTGATTATCATGCAGGGGTTGGTGGGGCTTTCCATGAGCACCAGCAGAGAGAAGGGACGTGGAGGGGGGCACAGTGAGGTGCCGTGCGGTGCAGTGCAGTGCAGTGCGGTGCTCTTACTCAACCCTGATATCGCTGATCATCATCCGCGGGTTGGTGGGGCTTTTCATGAGCACCAACAGAGAGAAGGGACGTAGAGGGGGGCACAGAGAGGTGCTGTGCGGTGCAGTGCAGTACGGTGCTCTTACTCAACGCTGATATCGCTCCTCATCATCCGCGGGCTGGTTGGAACTCTAAATAAGCACCAGTGGAGAGGACGGGAGGGAACGTGAAAACGGGGGTTGTATAGGGGCACAGTGCAGTGTGTGTAGTACAGTGCAGTGTAGTTCAGTGTAGTGTAGTACAGTGCAGTGTAGTACAGTGCAGTGTAGTATAGTGTAGTACAGTGTAGTGCAGTGCAGTACAGTGCAGTACAGTACAATGCAGTACAGTGCAGTACAGTACAGTGCGGTGTCTCACCCTGATATCGCTGATCATCATGCGGGGGTTGGTGGGGCTCTCCATAACGACCAGCTTGGTGCCGGGCAGCACTGCCGCCCTCACTGCTTCTAGATCCGTTGTGTCCACCCGCCTGAAGGGAAAGAGGGAGCAGAGAAAGAGAAGAGTGGTGAGTTAAGTGAGGCAAGAACAGAGGCTTCCCCTTTCCAGGTGGGGCTCTCCGTAGCGACGAGCAGGGAGAGGGAAAGGGAGAGAGATGGAGAAGAAAGGGAGAGAGAAGGAGGGATGGTGAGTAGAGTGAGACACGGACAGAGGTTGGTGGGGCTTTCCATGACGACCAGCTTGGTGTCGGGCAGCACTGCCGCCCTCACTGCTTCCAGATCCGTTGTGTCCACCCGCCTATTGGGGAAGGAGAGCAGGGAGACAGAGAGGAAAGGCAAGAGGGATGGTGTGTAATGAGAGGCATGGACAGGGGTTGGTGGGGCTCTCCATAACAACCAGCTTGGTCCTCACTGCTTCCAGGTCCGTTGTGTCCACCCGCCTGGTGCGTAAAGAGAGCAGAGAGAGGAAGGAATGGAGAGGAAACTGGGCATGGATGGACAGGGGTTGGTGGGGCTTTCCATGACGACCAGCTTGGTGCCTTCTCTCACTGCCGCCCTCACTGCTTCTAAGTCGGTTGTGTCTACTCGCCTGATGGGGGAAGAGCAGGGAGAGGGAAGGAGGGAGAGAGACGGAGAGGGAAGAGAGGGATGGTCAGTAGAGTGAGGCGCGGACAGGGGGTTGGTGGGGCTATCCATGACAACCAGCTTGGTGTCTTCCTGTACTGCCGCCATCACTTCTTCTAAGTCAGTTTGGGGCGAGGGAGTAGGGCGGAAGAGTAAAAACTAAACCAGAGAGCAAAAAACTTCACCTGGAAGCACCAGAGGGCCCACCTGAAAACAACAGAATTCCCACCTGACAGCAACAGAAGACCCACCTGACGGCAACAGAAGACCCACCTTTGGGCAACAGAAGACAAACCTGACAGCAACACCTGCACGAGGCACCACTCTTGACAGCAGCCGGTCTGTGCCTCCGTAAATGTCGTCACCCGCTACAATGGAGGAACCTGAAGGGAGGAGACACATGGGGCAGGGAGGCGAGGGGGGGTATTGGTCCACTCTTTGACAGCAGCCGGTCTGTGCCTCCGTAAATGTCGTCACCAGCTACAATGGAGGAACCTGAAAGTCCCATGTGAAATGTCAGAGCCCGGTGCAAGACAGCGGAGGCAACGAGAGGAAACATTCATTTTTGGCACCTAAAAAATACACCCGCTACTATGGAGGAACCTGAAAGTCCCATCTGAAAGGTCCGAGACCAGTGCAGGACAGGGGAGGCAAGGCAACGAGAGGAAGATCTCGCGAAAAGTAACAAAGATTGACCTTGTGGTAACGAAATCACATCACACCAGTGGTAACGAAATATAACCCGCAATGAGACACTGGTGGTAACGAAATATAACCCGCAATGAGACACTGGTGGTAACGAAATCTCACCAGTTGGTAACAAAATCCCACCGGTGGTAACGAAATCTCACCAGTGGAAACCAGCCTGGTGGCTGCAGCAAGTGCCGCCATCCCGGTGCTGAAGACAAAGGCACGATGCGCCCCCTCCACCTCCGCTAGCAGCCTGCTTGTGAGAGAAGCGTGAAGAGAGAGTAAGGTGGAGAGGAAGAAAGAGCAGCACGCATTTATTCATTCCTAAGGCGAAGGCACGACAATGTGTCCCCTCCACCACCTCTGCTAGCAGCCTGCAGGGGAGAACCAGGGGAGAGAGAGAAAGGTGGAAAAGTGTGATTGGGAAAAGACAAGGGAGAAGTATGAGGTATTGCTCCGAACAATGAGGAGAGGTGCTTGTTGGGAACAAATATGACAGGGATATTTCCTCTCTCACACAACTATCTTATCACTTCAAACTCACGCTCACTCACTCCACCCTCACGTCACACTCACTTGACAGTCTTCACACCCTCTTCACTCTCTTCACTCACTCCACACTCACTTCTCGAGTGCATCCCTCGTAGGGTTACCACTGCGAGTGTAATCGTAGGCATTATTCTCTGTCGCAGAAACCTGTCGCATTACAAACAGGGAGAGGGAAGGTTCGGATAAAAACAGGGTAAATAATTGCAGCATGCATTCGGATGAAAATGGATGAAGTGCTAGCAGCATGAATCCAATAGGACGTGTCGTTTTCTACAATGCAATCGCCAAGTTAGTCAGATGATCTTCAATTGTTCAACTACTCTCATGGCCGCACTTATTTTAATGCTCAAATCTTCAAATGCTCAACTCCCATGGCTCAGTTCAGTTTATTCAAATCTTCAGAAGTTCAAATGTTCAACTCCCATGTTCCATTTGCCAATGCGCATTGGCGATCCCCCACTCGATCATTCTCTCTTCCCCACCCCGGTTTTCCCCTTTTACTCCCGGAGCCACAGTTTAACCTGACGGAATGTAGCCGTTTGGTAGATGGGAGTGCTGACGGCTCCGTACGGATCGAAGTCCGCGCCCTTATAATGAAGGATCCGCGTCGCGAGGCTCTGTGAACCGTCCGATCCTGATCGCTCCTCCGCCTGACCCTCGCCTGCTTCGCTGCCCCCGCTGCTGTCGATGCTATTTCTCGCCGCCATGAAACGCGAATCGCGCCGCGAACTGCGGGAAACTACAGACAGGGAGGAAATGTTCCTAGTAGGAACCAGCGAACCGCATTGCAAGGAACGGAGAAGCGAGCTCGAGCGGGGATGAAGGGACGAATCTCGCGCGACGGCCGCGCTTGACTCGCATGGGAAGCAAGTGATGGTCTGTGGGTGTGAGAGCGAAGCGGCTCGGTTCAGAAAGCTCATTCTGACAAAACCGTTCGGCGGGAAAACCAAGTCAAGGAGCAATGAGATTCGGCTAGGATGAGATGAGACCCACCACTAAGATTGGTGTGTGGGGTGGGAAGTGTGGTCATGGGTTCTGGTTTTGCGTACAAGATAAGAGGTGTACTGAGCAACTTTCGGTTCTCTGGATAAGCTTGTTCAATTTATCATTCATCATTCCTCTACACTTTCCTTTCCTAGGCCGGTTGGCAATGTTTCAGTTCAGAGTACCCAAGCTTTCAAGTTTCTGGGTAAGAATAAAAAGAGGATTACAACAAACAGATTTTTAGTACACATTGTAACTCAGCCACAGCAGTTCTCAAATGCAGCTCGAACGGTGTCCTCCCATTCTCATGAATAAAACAAATATTCAAACCCCAATGCTAGCATACCATACAGCCGCCTAGACTTTAAACAGCTTCTTCATACACTTGACGTTGCACCGTTTGCCAACCGACATATTCACACAGATCTCGCTCGCCTTGCACGCACTCTTCTTGCACGAGCACCCCTTTGCCGCACCGCCTTTATTCTTTCCCTTGGCCCCTTTCCCCTTCACTGGCTGCACAAATTTCGTATCCACTGGTGTTCGAGAGCCGCTGCCTGTAGAAGAACCATCCGTACCTTCTCCCGATGTACCATCAAGTGTATCGTCCGATGTACTGTCAGATGTGTCTGTAACGGATGTGCCTGTAACGGGGGCGTCCTCTGGGCCTTTGGTCTGCTCCACCTCTTCCGGAGCATCCATGGGTGGTTCGGGTTCATTGATGAGAGGTTCCATTGAATCAGTGGAGGACATGACGCTCGCTGGTAGGGGAAAGAGTGGGAAGGGGTGGAAAGCGGTACAGTGAGGCGAGGCAAAACACAGTGCAGAGCAAGGTGAGACACTGAGAATATGTGCTTTATACTCTTGACATCCACGAGAGGTTCCATTGAATCAGTGGCAGACATGACGCTTGCTGGTAGGGGAAGGGGTGGGAAGGGGTGGGAAGGGGCACAGTGAGGCAAGGCAATGTACAGTGCAAATTCCTCAGGGGGCTTTGGTCTGCTCCACCTCTTCCCGAGCATCCATCGGGGGTTCGGGTTCATTCACGAGAGGTTCCATTGAATCAGTGGCGGACATGACGCTCGCTGGTAGGGGGAGGGGTGTGAATGGGTGGGAAGGGGTGGAAAGGGGTGGGAAAGGGCACAGTGCAGAGGAGATTCCTCAGGAGCCTTGCTCTGCTCCACCTCTTCCGGAGCATCCATCGGGGGTTCGGGTTCATTGATGAGAGCTTCCATTGAATCGGTGGCGGACATGACGCTCGCTGGTAGGGGAAGAGGGGAAAGGGGCAGAGAGAGGGACAGTGACGCAAGGCAAAACACAGTTCAGGTGCATCCATGGGCGGTTCGGGTTCATTCACGAGAGGTTCCATTGAATCGGTGGCGGAGATGACGCTCGCTGGTAGGGGAAGGGGTGGGAAGGGGTGGAAAGGGGCACAGTGAGGCAAGGCAAAGTGCAGTGCAGAGGTGATTCCTCAGGGCCTTTGGTCTGCTCTGCCTCTTCTGGTGCATCCAGGGGAGGTTCAGGTTCATTCACGAAAGGTTCCATTGAATCAGTGGCCGACATGACGCTCGCTGGTAGGGGAAGGGGTGGGAAGGGGCAGAGAGAGGCGCACAGCGAGACGCGGCAAGGCACAGTGCAGAGATGGGTTTTGAGTGAATTTCAAAATGCATTCGGGGATTTTGGATTTCATTGGGTTCATCCCTGAGGGGTGCATCCAGCACGGGTCAAACCTGCCATTACCCACCCACCAGCCAGCATGCTGCTACCCTTCATACCCCCAACCAGTAGCCCAAGCACCCACCAGCCCACCCACCAGCCCACCCATAAGCCTCAACTCACGGGAGGAGCAGCGCAGAGCCACCTGGTCTTGCCACGTCTCCCCGGCTTCCGGCGCCGGGCGGCACAAGTCCCCCACCACCGCCTCACAATACGCATCCCCCATGTCCGCCCGCTGCTGCCCGGCCCCCACTGCGCATGCCGACGCATCTCCCAGGCAGTTTCCCGCCGCGAGGCAGGCCTTGATGGGCGTTTTGCGCGGGGGGAAGGTTCCCGAGAGGAGGTTGTTGGTGACGTCGAAAGAGTTGAGAGGTGCTGTGATGGGGGGGATGGGGCCTGTGAGAAAGTTGTAGGGCAGGTGGCTGGGGGAAACGGGGGGTGGGGATGGGAGGAGGAAGGGGGGTAAGAAGAGAGTGCAGAGGAGAGGAGGTTGCTGGAGTCTGGAGACGTCAAAGGAGCCAAGGAACACATTAGCAGTTTCCCCCCGCGAGGCAGGCCTTGATGGGCGTTTTGCGCGGGGGGAAGGTTCCCGAGAGGAGGTTGCTGGTGACGTCAAATGAGCTGAGAGGGGCTGTGATGGGGGGGATGGGGCCTGTGAGAAAGTTGTAGGGCAGGTGGCTGGTGCGAGGGGGGAGGGAGGGGGATGGGGAGGAGGGAGAGGAGAGAGAAAGGAAAGGAGATTTCTCAAGAGTCACCCAGTGGAGAGGGAGGCCTTTGATGGGGGTGGCACGCGGGGGGAAGGTTCCTGAGAGGAGGTTGCTGATGATGTCAAAGAAGCTGAGAGGTGCTGTGATGGGGGGGATGGGGCCTGTGAGGAAGTTGTAGGGCAGGTGGCTGGAGAAAGTGGGGAATGTGGGGTGGGGTGAGAAGGGGAGGGGGGAAAAAGGGACAGGAAGCAAAGGTAAGAGCAGGGGCCAAGGGAGAGGAGGTAGAATGACACGGTTATCCTATGGCACTGGCATGAGTCATGACTCCCTGTGCACGTACAGGTAACGGAGCTGGGGCAGCACGGGGATGGAGGAGTAGGCCGCTGTGAGTAGAGGTAGAATGACACGGTTACCCTGTAACAACCACAGTGTGACTCATCAACTGCGACTCTACTGCAGCAACAACGACAGTGTCCTCTTCGCACGTACAGGTAGCGCAGTTGCGGCAGCTGCACGAGCTACACTGGGATGGAGGAGTAGAACCAGTTGGAGACAATGCAGGGTTACCAGGTTACCCTATGGCACTAACATGAAAGGCTGTGCACGTACAGGTAGCGGAGCTGGGGCAGCTGCACAAGCCACTCAGGGATGGAAGAGTAGAACCAGTTGGAACCGAGGCTCCTGCGAGAGAGGGATAAGAGGAAGGGAAGCAGAGACACACATGGTAAACAGGCGACAGGGGGGACAGCAGTCAGGGATGCTGAGACGATTTTTTAGTCGACTAAAAAATCGGCTCCTGTGAGAGACGGATGAGAGGAAGGGAAGCAGATACACATGGTATGGTAGACAGGTGACAGGGGGGACAGCAGTCAGGGACGCTTTCTGAGATGCATACGAGAGCTGCGAAAGGAGCTGGCTGGAGATTCGTGCGCAGGATGTGAAGTGCGGTGCGGTTCGGTGGAATGTGTTGCGGTGCGGTACAGTGCAGTGCAGTGAGGTGAAGTGGACGCACAGGTATCGCAGCTGGGTCATTGTCTTGATGGCTGAGATCTTCTCATCAATGGTGGTAGGCACCTTCGATCGAGTTACGCTCCTGGGTGGGTATAGAGGTTCAAGGGAAGAGAAGGGTAGAACAGGAAAGGGTGACTTTTGAGTCGACTCAAAAGTGATGCTCCTGAGTGGGTGGGTAGGTATAGAGGTTCAAGGTAAGAGAAGGGTAGAACGGAAAAAGGTGACTTTTGAGTCGATCCATAAGTGATGCTCTTGAGTGGGTAGGTGTAGAGGTTGAAGGTAAGAAAAGGGGCGAACGGAAAGAGGGCGGCGAATAGAAGCGATTGTAGAAATTCAAATGGCTGCGAGCGCAAGTAGCAGCAGGAATGGGGAGAGCAGGCATGGGGGAAAGGATCGAAGTAACATGATGGTGCGAAAGTGGGATGCACAGGGGCGAAATTGTTATGCACAGCAGAGAATTGTGACAACAAAGAGGACAGGCCAACATACAGGTATGTGAGAGCAGAGCAGTGAATTGTGACACTGAAGGGGACAGACCGACTCACAGGTACGTGAGAGCAGTGAATTGTGAGACAATGTCGGGCAGGGTTCCAATGGACCCATCGTCAATGTATCTGCAAGGAAGTCGACAAGGCAAAGCGAATCGAGCAGCGTGTCGGGCAGGCGGGCATGCGCAAGCAGCGAAAATAATGTCCAGTCACAACGCGTCGAGTCAGATGCAGCGACTCAGAAGAACAACGGGCGAAAGCTGACAGGCTGGATAGCGAGCCAGCGAACGCAGCGAGGGCAAAGGACAAGCGACGGTGATTTCGCCGAAATCGATATAATTGCAATGTCGTGATTTCGCCGCTCATCGCGTTGCACTTGATTCGGCTCCACGTGCTGCAGTTCCGCGGTGGGATAGACGAAGAAAACTCTCTGGCCCTTACAGTGTTGTGATTTCGCCGCTCGTCGCGTTGCACTTAATTCGGCTCCACATGCTGCAGTTCCGCGGAGCTGATATGTTCCATCCCTTGTCCGTGAGTCCCGATGCCGCCTTGAACGATAGGAGTAGCTTCACTGCCAGGAGATGCAAGGGAAGGGAGCAGGGAGCAGGGAGCAACGGCAGAAGCAGCATTAGCAGGAGCGTAATGGCACGCTGCAGTTCCGCGGAGCGGATTCGTTCCAGCCCTTGTCCGTCAGTCCCGCTGCCGCCTTGAACGATAGCAGCAGCAGCACTGGTAGGAGACGCAAGAAAAGGGAGAACTGGAGGGTATGGTTATCGGAATATCAACGCAGCTCTGCGAAGTGGATATGTTCCAGGCCTTGTCCGTGAGTCCCGCTGCTACCTCAAACGATAGCAGCAGCAGCTTCACTGCGAGGAGATGCAAGGGAAGGGAGAGCGGCAATGGTGGCATCATGATCGCCAATGTGTCTCGCACTGTTGGAAAGGATAAGAATTACGCGATTGAGGGAATTCCGTCAAGACCATATGTTCAGTTCGAGAAAGAATAAGATTTCTTTGTTCGAGCCGTTTCCTTTTCGGTGGGGACACAAAAGAAAAGCACACATGTGCTCGATGTGTTCCAGTTGGTGTCCGCAGCTTGGCTGTTCGAGAGAATGAACATGTCTTGTTCGCATGACAAATACTTCTCAAGGTGTGTGTGTCAAACTCAAGATTCGGCTCACAGCTCGCGGTTTAACGAGCCGCGCCATTGTATCTCGCAGGGCGATCCGTCCATGCTGCCGCGTCAGTAATGGGAGAGATTCGCAGCAAGGAATAGCTACTAGAGAGCAACAGTGGCTCAGCTCGAGACTCAATTATATTGCAGTACCGTCCCGGACGGAAGAACTGACAGCTGTGACACCCTAGGGTGTGAAACATCGTCAAACGTCAAGGGTAGTGAAACACAGTCTTAAGTGGAATTGGGTGGCAGCGCTCGGCAGGCACGTGTAATAAGATTGTTTTCGCATTACCGTACTCCTCCCTCGAGTCGGCGACAAGGTAAGCTCCGTTTTCGGCGAAAGGGGGAACGTCGGTTCGGCAATGTGTACTACCTTGGTCGTCTGTCAGCATTTGGCTGGCGGCGCCGCTGACATACACGATAAGGGACACGAATAAACAGAGGGCCCGACTCGCGGTTACGCCGCCGTGTGAAGCCATCATACTGTCAGAAGAGGCAGCGCCTTCTTGACACGAATGCTAGTCTGGCACGACGAATCGCGACACCTAAAAGAATCAGAAGATCAGATGTTATGATGTATCTCTCGTTTCCCCGGTCTGGACTCTCGATTTCTCGAGTGTAGCAAGATCTCGATACTACGAACTACAGCCGACGCGCAAGTTGGGAATAAAATCGTCAATCTTTCACTACTAACTAGTAAATCGTGAAGGCCGGGGCCCTAGGCTCTTCAGGGATTAGTGCTACAGAACAACTGTTTAATGCAATGGTTTCTAACGAATGTACGGAGCTCTAGGGGAGGGGAGCAGCTTGCAGAGAAAGAATAGTTGATGGGATTGCATAGCAAAGGAATCACTAGAGAGGTGGGGGAGGTGGAGGGAGCACGGAGCAGCAGGAGGGAATGCGAAGTGGAGGGTACAGCACAGAAGAATAGTGCGGGTGCGGGATTACCGTAACATCAGGGCCCGCGGCTCCATTGGGGCGCTCCGCCCCGGTCTGGTTCGTTCCTTCCTTCTGTTCCCTCGTGGGATCTGATCTGACCCGTGCCTTGCAGGTGCCGCCGCCGAGGCTCCAGCGCAGCACAAGAAAGGGAGGAGCAGATTAGGTTAGCCCGAGAGAGCCCTCCCCTTCACCCCCTGATGACAAGGTGCGACCGTGCGAGCTAAGGGAGGTTGGGAAGGAAGAGCAGTTCAGGTTGTTGGCCAGGCAAGATCCTACGGCGGAAGGAACAAGGGCAGGTGGTATTTTTTCGTTCGGAATAGACCCGGGGAAAGTGGCATGCACACCGTTCAAAACCCTAGTGTTTCAAAGTCTACTTTGAGAAGGTTCGAGCTTGACAAGAGATCTCAAAACAGGCCTAGGAGTTCATTATGTCGACGTGTGTTTCTGCATCGACAAATTTCTGCGTAGAAGCTGTTGTCGAGGCGAACAAAAAGAGTTTTAGGCTAACCAAGATTAACAAACAGTGCTTCTTTCTATGTAAGGATTTGGGCGACTCATCAGGTGATTTCAGAAAGGAAAGAAATTGGTTCGTGCCTGTCACCTCAGGTGCGACCTCGGCAATGGCAGAAATGATTGGTTGAACTGTATCAAACCTGCGATTAGGGGATGAAACAGAAGCCCCACCACCCCAGAAGTCCTCCACACAGAAAATTGCGTTTGAACACCAATGGTCTTCCATGTAAGAAAATCACTTATCACCATCTCTTGACCTTGAGATTACAAATTAGCAACTTTAGAATGGTGTGAGAGATAATGCATTTTAGATAACATGCAAAAAAAAATGCATTCATTGTCATGCTACAGTCACTCAATCACTTTTGTTCGCGGTATAATATCCGCAGCTCTTCCCCCCGCAGCAGTGTCTTTTGAAAACGCTGGAGTTCGGGCGTGTTTCATGCTCTTACATGCAGTCGTTGCATCCTAGATTATTGTCGTTCAGGCCACAAGGGCGTTCAGAGCGTTCAATTTACTAGTAAATACTCGTTCTGAGATTCATCTCGTGCCACATAAGGTTGTGACGAAGTGATCGCTTTTGAGCAAATTCAAACTACTACGATATCTATGAAATGATGAACACATCCTAGGAGAGTCGGGTCCCTTTTTTTCGCCGCCCGCCTCCTCCGCGTCTAACATTCTGCTCCCTGTATATCCAACCTGCGATGAACTTGCACCGTTCGATGAAAACAATCTGGGCCTCAAGACTCTTCTGACCCTCGATCTGGTCCCAAACTCGGCAGTTCCAAGGTCGTACAGTTGAGTGGTGCATGCTG